GCCTTGTCCTGTAAAGTTATCATTTTGGAGATACAAGGTTTTGTTCCGACAGCAGAGATATCCTGGTTTTGCTTGTGATCAGCCTAGTAACTGCTGACCAGCATCCAAAACACAACATATCGCCACTGTCGGAAAAAAAATCTCGTATTTCCATTTTGTCATTTTTGAATGAAACAGCCCAAAATGACTTCGAAAAAACTCTGGTTCCATTGACCTACATTAGAAATAAAGTAGTTTTTTTCCTTCTCCTGTAAAGTTACTATTTTGGAGATACAAGGTTTTCTTCTGACAACAGCGACATGCTGGCTTATGTTGGTTTTTCTAGCAGGGATGTTCAGACAATATACAATATGTAGTTTCACAATAATCTTGTTTCTTTCATGGAAGCAACTGAGAAAAAGTCCTCTAAATAGTTCATATGTTGACGTTTCACAGGACAGGGCCTTTCACCTTAGCAAGACCTCCAAGTTTGGTAACAGCAATCTGTTCAATCAGTCAGGCTAAAGGGCTTATTGTTCCAGAAAAGGCTTACACATTGTTTCTTAACAGGTTTTACAGGCTTGACATTTTTTGTAAGTTTTGTGATATTGTGATATGACGTTGGCCCTCGTGTTGTGTTGGATTTAGAGCCATTTTTTAAAGGAAATGAGCCCATTTACGGAGTAAGTGGATCTAGAACAAAAAGTAGTAGATATGACATATAATTAAATTGAGGGAAATTTTGCCCATTGTATAACTAGTAATGCAAAAACTAATAGCTTATGAGTTTCATATTTAAAACCTTATAATGGTTTCCTCTCGTTGTTTACTTTGTAAGCAACAGCGTCATGGAAAATCTTGTAACTTCAGGCCTGTAAATGTGGTCAGCATGGAATTCACTCTTTGTACTTTGATGGTTTATATAGCAGATGGCAGACACCTTCAAAGCCTATACCAATGCTTACGAACTTTCAACATGCAGAGACTCAAAGACTTTCAAAATGTCTTCACAATGAAAGGACTTTTATTTATTCATAGAGATTTGTTTTGTAACAAAAGTGTAAATCTTTGCTTTAGTCTATCATTTTAAATAAAAGGAAAATCTAATATTCAGTGTCATGTCACTCTTTAAAAAGATGGTTCTTCAAGGATTCTTAGGAAAGAAAATGGTTCTAGAAAGAACCATAAACACTCAAAAAACCCTTTGCAGGATTAAATGGTTCTTTGCATCATGAAATGGTTCTTCAGATTGATAGAGATGGTTCTATATAGAACATTTTTGAAAAGGGTTCTATATAGCACCCAAAAGGGTTCTTCTATTGTTAGAAGCTTGACATTGTAACAACAGAAGGACCTTTTTGGGTGCTATTTAGAAACCTTCTCATGATGCAGAGAACCCTTTAATCATGCAAAGGATTCTTTGAGCGTTCATGGTTCTTTATAGAACCATATTCTTTTTTTTTTAACTTAATTTTTTTATTTTTGTTTTGTGCAAATTCACATTCATATAAATGAAATACAAAAGAGGCTGGGAAAAAAAGGTACATGAGGTCTTATTTAAAGGTTTACAGGTACAACATTTCAAACATAAAACTCAACAACAATCTCTGTTTTCATACACCAGGCAGAATGATCAGAGTCAAAGGTCTCAGTTCACCACGCTTACTCGGGTGTAGCAATCCCATTTCATCCCGTTTTTCTTCCCTCTCTCCTTTTGAAGACGTACGGAGTAAGTCAACATTTCCATGGAGCGAATATAAGTAACAATTTCAACAAAAAGGTCCACAGTTGGGGGGTTTCTTCTGAGCCAGCACTTAGTAATAGCTTTCTTACAAGCGACCAGAAATATATTCAATAGGTAGCAATCACTCTTACTTAACCCTTCAGGGGTTACACCAAGATACATAGAGTTAAATGACACCTCCACATTAAAACCCAAGATCTCCGAAATAATTCTCCCCATATTAGACCAAAAGGACTGAATTTTTGGGCAACACCATACTACATGTGCATGGTCTACGTCCATTGGCCCACACTCCCTCCAGCAGGGGAAGTGGGCCCAGTCAACCTTAATTTGAGTTTGGGCGTTATAAAAAATCTGATCAGACTCTTCCAGCAAAAATCCCTCCAAATCAATGAATTAGTGGAAGTACAATGGTTTTCCCATACTCGTGACCATACTTCCTCTGTTATCTTTTCCTGTGTATCTTGTTCCCATCGAAGTCTCACATAATTAGTAGAATTTTTATTCATTAAACAAATGACTTTGTACAGTTTGCCAATAACCCCTTTATTTCCTTCACCCCTATATGCATCTATAAAAAACTGAGTCAGTCCTGAGAAAGGAACCGGGTTGGGGCCTTTAACCTCTTTCATATAGAAGTGACAGATCTGTAAATATCTAAAAAAAATCCTGTTTACCAAGGTCAAATGAGTCACATAATTTCTAGAAACTGTCAAATTCCCCACTCGACAGCATTCTACAGAGGGCATATAGAACCATATTCTTTACTAAAGAACCATCTTTTTTAAGAGTGTAGGGCTGCACAATACATCATTTGTTAATCAGTATCATGATATTGGCCTGTTCAATACTGATATCGCAGAAGACTGTGACTTGCAAATGAGCCTTTTACTAATCACATTTTTTTCACTGTGCGCTGTGATCATGTCGACCAATCACAGCTCCAGATGAGTCCTACTTTTTTTGTGAAAATATTTTTGCTAACGTTTTCAAAACATCAAACAAATGACATACAGACACACACAAATAAGTAAAATAAATGCGACTTAACAAGATCCTGTTCCGTGCTTTTTATGACCAAGTGAGCTAATGTGGACCAAGCTTTTTTTAACTTAATTTTCTCTGTTCAGTTCACCCAGAAAGAAAAAGCGTGGACAATTATGCGCTCTTGGACTTCCTGTCAGAGATGGCTGCAGAATCACTGGGGAATGGACTCTTGATGTCCTAATGACGGGGCCAATGCAGTAGCACCACTAAGGAGCCCATAGTTGAGTGTTTCTGTAGGTGTTTTGTTGGAATCAAGGTACTCACATACACACACAAACACACACACACACACACACACACACACACATACATTTTCTAAGCTGCTTGTCCTTCTGGGTCATGGGGGGTTGCCTATCCCAGCAGTCACCGGGTGGAAGGCAGAACACAGCCCGGACAGGTCGCCAGTCCATCGCAGGGTACTCACATAATCAAAAGGAAATTATTTTGGTCAAAAATAATGCAGGCCGATCTTCAACCAAGTAACATGACTGATTTTTAAAGTCGGCATTTTTCTCTGTCCTGGCACTCAGGTGGTGGAACAAACTTCCACTGGCTGTCCGAACAGCAGACTCTCTCGTGGTCTTCAAACACAGACTGAAGACACATCTCTTTTTACAGTACTTAAGTGAGCACTACTTTAAGCCTCAAAAAAGTAGGCTTTTGTTTCTAGCAATATCTGAGCTCACACTCAAATAGTATACTGTCAAGTGAAGTGATCTTAAATGTAGTCAAAATATCTAATATTTTCCCTTTGCATATAATCCCTTTTTGAGATGGTTGTGCACTTATGATAAGATTATCTATCTTTTTTTCTAGACATTATTTACTTGCGTCAGGTGATTTTACTAAGTAGAATTATCTCACTATACTGGCAGATAATTTGGCTGGTTTAAGGAACATTTCTTAAAACAAACAAAGTTATCTGCCAATATAGTGAGATAAGCTTACCTACCAATCACTTAAACAAGTAAAAAATGTCTAAAAATAAGTTAAATGATCTACAGTTAAGCTTACAACAATCTCAACAGGAGAAATATTACATTTATTGACGATATTTAAGATCATTTTACTTGACAAGACACCATTTTTTTGCAGTGCTGGATGACCTTTTACTTGGAACTATTTGTAAATAGCAAAGATACTTTCTCAGAGTAGACAACAAAGCATTTTTGTAAGTCGCTGTGGATAAAAGCGTCTGCTAAATGCTGTAAATATAAATGTAAATGTAAATGTTACTGTCAGAACAAAACATTGTATCACAATTTTTTACATAATTTGTAAATGCCAGCTGTTCATTTCCACTGTATTAAAGTTTCAGAAAGAACAGACCAGTAGAAATGGCCAAAAATGACCCAAAAAAGTTGCTGTTGTATAAACTTACATTCAAAGTTCAGAACATTTTTTCCTTCTTCTATACTGTTACTTTTTATGAGGTTCTGTTTTGATAGTGACAATATACTGGGAGATGCTGTGGCAGTAGGAGACTTTACAATGCTGAAAGTCAATCCCACCTCATTTTCGCTGCAAGTTCATAGGCTTTCATAATTAGCATGAAGGCCCAAAACCTCAGTGATGTGCGGATGGGCTGAAAAACAAGGGCAAATGTATGGAATGTGGAAGAACGTGTTGTAGTAAATGATGCTTGAATAGTAACCCTTGTGTGGTGTTGGGGTCTGTGGGTTTTCAATGTTTACCAAAAGAAAAAATGATGTGATTTATTACTATTTCAACCTCAGATTCCTTGGCCTTTGCTCACTTTCTGTGAAGAACACATAAAATAACACATTATTAGTGTCTTCACACTGTTGTGGGGAATAAAAGTGTGGAGGTGCTGTGTCCCTTTACCCTGTTCTCCTCCTACATGGCCTGCTGTGTGTGTGTGTCTGTGTGTGTATGTGTTTGTACATGCATGTGTGTGTGTGTGAGGGTGGACAACATGGACAGGCTGCTGACTGGCTACAGCTGCTAAAGGAGATCCCTCCGCTGGCCACTAACATCTTTAAACACATAATTGTTATGGCTGTACTGACAATAATGTGGTGGGTCAACAACACCACATGAGTAACAACAACATGAACACCACACACGGGTTAAAACCTGCAACTGAAAGTGAAAGAATTCCAATGGCACAGTAGATTGTAGATTTTTGTGACGTTTGAGGAAAGGAAGAAAAGGTCTTACATAAGCAGTTGCAAGTTGTTTGGATTCTGTACCTCCTTCTACCATTCACATTTCTCTCTCTCTCTCTCTCTCTCTCTCTGTGTCTCTCTCTCTCTCTCTCTCTCTTATAAATAAGGAGCATTATACACAGCTTGGAGATTACAAATAGTGGACCTGGTCTTAAGGGATAAACTGAAGGGATAAAGCTCTCCCTGAGACGTTCACATTCAGAGCCAGCAGGCCTGAGCCATCACGACCCTGAGGACCCACAGCACTTCCACGAAGAAGGGAACAGGTAGGACTTGTATCAATCTGTTTAACTGTAACTGATATCAACCTTTGTGAAATCCTCATTGCAGAACACTTGATTGTGCACAGGTGTCGGCTGTTACAGCACCAGAGCGGGTTTAAGTCTGAATACTCCTCTAAAGTCATTTTCCTACTGAATAATTCTCTTTTTATTCTGCTGGCCAAAGTGTTCTTATACTGTAGGCCCTTCAGTAGATGCTCAGTGGTGCTCTGCATCTCGTTCCTGCTGTCTATTTGTCTTCTATATACAGTAAAGCGTTAGCAAGTATTCAGACAGTTATTGTTTTTGTAATTTACTATACTTTCACACATAGTGACTTAGACTTTTGTAATTATAAATATAAACAAAAAAGTGTGTATTTTAAAGCAAAAGCTAAATTTATAGGGGAAACGTATTCAGTCACCAGACTACGGTAAGGAGTAATTATCTTTTTGCACATTGTAGTTCAGTTTTGGCCTGTATTGTCCAATTTGGCAAAATGCCTTCAAATCCTCAGGATTACAAGGGTCCCTCTAATGAACCATTTCAAAATCCTCTATATACTTTCAGAGGGATTCAAATCAGGAGATTGGCTAGGCCATGCAAGCACCTTTACCTTCATTTTTAGAAAGCATTCTTGGGGTCTTGCTGAAATGTCCATCTTCTCCCCAGATTCAGTTTCTTTGCCGAAGAGAGTGGATTCTTCTCTAATACTTACCTATACATCGCTCCATTAATGTTTCCCTCCGTGATGTGTAATGCCCCTGTACGGTTTGCATGGAATAGCTCCATATCATGATGCTCCCACCGTCATGCTTCACTGTGGTTGTTCTTGGGATCACACATGCAGCTTGTCTTTCTCCAAACTCTTGCCTCTTTCTATTTTTGTTTCGTCTAATCAGAAATCTCTGAGAATGAAATGGTAGTCATGCAGGTTAGGCATTTAAGAGGTTTAGTTTGTATTGCTTCTTTTAACACCCTTTTAACACCGTTTTTGGTGTTATATGGAACCATTTTGAAAAGGTTCTTTAAAGAAAAATATACAACAGTTTCTCTGTTGTAGAGAAGAGTCATTTAACCATGCGAAGAACCATTTCCTTGAGTTATCATGGTTCTATATACAACCATTGTCTTCACTAAAGAACCATGGAAGACCCCCCTTTTCTAAGGGTGTGCCACTAAAATAAGAATAAAATAAAAATAAATCAAGTAACTATTCAGCTTTGCACTTGTTTCAAATTGTTCATGTAAAGTTATATAAAGCCTCATGATGATAGTAGTGATTGAAAGCCAGTCAATATTATTTATAGGGAATTAATGTGTTTTGCATTTGCATCTACACACACTCTACTGTCTTCATTGGCCTTACTATGTTTACTTGCTGTTCTTTATGCTTGTAAGCTGTGAGGCTAATAGGTTTTGAGCAATGAGAGGCTTACTGAGGCCTTGCTGCCACTGGATTTCTCACTGCGGAGAAAACAATCAAGACATTCCTTCGGCTTCTGCACTGATACTAATGCCTCTTTGTTTCATAAGAGCCTTAACACGAGATTTGTGCTCCAACAAAGACTTGTGCATGTAAGGCTCCTGTGACTACATAATCTATAAAAGCATATGCATACAATATTGTAAAATGAAAAGTTCTGCCAAAGTTTTTCACAGTTTTTAGCATGTACAAAAAATACTTCTGCAAAACTTCATTAACATTAACTGCATCAAAACAAAGGCTTCAAACTGCCACTGGTTATTTCACGTTTTCGACTTTTAAAAAGCCTTTATCATTAAAAGCCAAATTTTTATTGCTTTTTAAAATAAAAGACTTTGATGCAGTCTATAAACATGTTAACATTTCAAAATTAACCAATCACTCTCCATATATAGTCCATATATGGAAATTATGCTGCAAAAACAGCCTGTTTAAAGTAACTGTTTTTGTGATGTCACAAAGACCAACACATTTAGATACATTACGTCTAACAGCTTAGCTCCGCCCATTCATGTTGAGGTTAGGAAGCATGCCTGATCATGGACTGCTGTCTGACAGGGAAGCCAATCAGAACAGTGCTCATTTACATATATCAGTCTTAAAGGCACAGCACTAAAAACAGCCTGTTTAATTCTAAGGGATTTTAAGGTTGCAAAACAGGCTTGTAAAAATGAAAGAAGATTGTTTTTGTTATATAAAATGTAATAAGTGGACTTAAGGGGAAAAAATACAACGCACTGAGCTGTTAGTTGTTTTTAAAATGATAGTCTATGGACATACTGTGGTTTTGCCAGTCATCTTGACTGTGTATTGCCAAATATCAGCCTTCCAGTCTTATTTTGCATTTTGGCGAAATTGTTTCAGTTGATACAGATGTATTTCTATATTGCACTGATTTTCTTTTTTTTCTGTGATGGTTTTACAGCTATCCATTAAAACCTCCATCAATCAGGACCAAACATGGACATGGAACAAATATACGAGTATATAGGGTGAGAAAACAAACATATTACTAAATTACAGTATGCTTTAGTTACCACTGACTATAAACATGGCATCTAAGAGTTAAATTCAATTGATTAATTATTTGTTATTTCATAAAGGAGAATTCCACTGATTTTTCTAAAACATCTGTATAATTATGTGGTTATGATGTGAACATAGTCATTCACAGTGGTTTGGTGTGACATGATTCATTTACAGAGAAACCTATGGACTCAGATTTCTTTACAGTGGTGGTGATAGAAACCAGGGGTCACCATGTCTACAAACACATATAGCCATTTTATTTACTATCAAAACCACCAGTGAACCCATACGCGCTTTCTGAGTTCCATATGTTATACTGATGATCTCTCTGCCATAAATGGCTTTTAAAAATATGTTCAGACAGCATTTTCATTACCATTACATGTAATATCTTTCTGTGAGGGAGCTTTTAGAGGTGGACGTCTGGTTCCTATCACCACCACTGTGAACAATTCTAACAGTAAGTTTCTCTAGAACAGAGCATTTCACACCAAACCACTCTGAATGACTTTGTTTACATCTCAACCATGTAAGCATGCAGAAATTTAGAGAAAAGAAAAAAAAATAGTGAACTTCCTTTTTAAAGATCGATTTTGATTGATTCAGGTAATTGAATTAGTTTGAAGTCCTTAAAAATATTGATTATAGATTCTTGTATGTAGATCCTCCCATTTGCTTTTAGCTTTATGGTGATTCACGCAGCATTATAATCACTTTGTTGGTCTGAAATGATAGTTTACCCATAATATTGAACATCATATGTGTTTGTGTTTTTTCACCACAGTAAGGAGAACGTGACAACATATGCTGTTGGTGCATTCTTGCTGTTGTGGGCTTTGGTATGGCTTTACCGGGACAGTCTGGAAATCGACAAAATCAGTGAGAAGTATGTGTTTGTCACCGGCTGTGACTCCGGCTTTGGGAACCTGCTGTGTAGACGGCTGGACAAGCGTGGTTTCCGTGTACTGGCTGGTTGTCTAACAGAAAAGGGTGCGGATGACCTGAAGAGGGTGACGGGCCCCAATCTGAAGACGTGTATTCTGGATGTGACCAGCACTGCCAGCATTCAGAAAGCATTTGAATGGACACAGAAGGAAGTTGGAGATAAAGGTTGGTATATTGTACAACAGTGGATCCCAACTCTGGTCCTGGAGTAACCAAAGCCCTGCTCAGTTTTTCTCCTGCTTCCAACACACTTGATCCAACTAATCAGCCAGGAAAGCACTAAAATGTTCAGGGCAGGGGGTGGTCCGAAAGCAGGGGTGGGAACCTGTGCTGCACACAATTGAGTTTATGGTCCCTTAATGAATGAATGTGACCCTTCCACTCACACCTAAAACTAGAGGTTAATATAGTATTTGTTGTTATGCAGTGTTCTGTAGCACCATTACATCCCTCAGCCTCATCAGGGCCTCAGTTTGATTCCCTGGGCGGGCAAATGGGGTCCTCACTTTGTTAAGTTTGCATGCTCTCCCTATGTCTCCGGGTGCTCCAGTTTCCTTGTTGCTCGCTAGCAGCTCAACACAGAGCCACAAATTTCACACACAGAGCCAACAGTGTTCTAGTTGATTTGATAACAGAGTTACAGGGAAATTATTTTATAATAATTCAAAATTATTCAAGTCGATTTCCCTTCTAGAGGCAGAATGGCCACTTTGGGACATCTGCAGAAAGATGGTACAGGGACAGTTAATTTGAACGTCAAGTTCATTATGTTCAGCAACAATGTGAAACAGAGCGCAGAGTCAAGGACTGCACTGTTAAAAATCACAGGAAAACATTAAAAAAGGATAGTAACTTTGTAAATATTGTAAAAAATCTAAACTTTTCAGGAGAGACATGTTTTTATTAATCAATACAATCACAGATCATAAAACCATTTGGAATCACTGTGGTGTCATCCAAACTTAGCCACTCTGTAGGCTAATAAACACAAGCTAGCATATATAGCTATGCAGTGTAACTCACCTCAGTCTTCAAACATATTTGTGAAGAAAACAGCAAGTCTATCTTTATTCAGCACAAAATGAACAGCAGAGACAATTTTATATCCTTTCAGTCAGAGAAAAAGAAGCCAAATTGAGAAAAGATATCTAGATATCCAGGTAGCTACTTTGCTAACTTTAGCTTAGGTTGTTGTCCTTCTCAACATGTCATTTCTGTTCTTTGAGTGATCCATTCTCTCCATTATAATAATGATTTGCAGACAGTTACCACAGTTAGTTACCATTGCTAATGAAGAAGGGACAAGTTCCTACAGTGTGTCCCCAAAAATCAACCCAAAGCGGTCCAAGGCCTGTCAGCAGCAGTAAAAAGAAGCTAACTGCTAATTGCTTCACTTTCCGTTTCGCCTAGCTTTTACTGTTCATTTACTAACAGTCACATTTGCATTTTTTGAGAAACCTATTTATTAGCTTAGCCTTGTGTTTTTGGTTCTGGTAGGACTGTGGGGGATTGTAAACAATGCAGGCCGCGCTCTACCCATGGGTCCATCTGAGTGGATGCGGATCGAGGACTTCCACAGCACTCTGAAGGTCAACATGAATGGTGTGATTGAGATGACCATGAAATTCCTGCCACTGATCAAAAAAGCCCGCGGCCGCATCGTCAATGTGGCTTCAGTGCTGGGCAGGGTGGCGGCAAATGGGGGTGGCTACTGCGTCTCCAAGTTTGCAGTGGAATCCTTCTCCGATTGCCTCAGGTATCTCCAAATTCAGCATGTGAGTTTAAAGTGACAGTATACAGTAGACTTAAAGACATAGTAACAACAGCCTGTGTTAGATAAAACTTTATTTTAAAAGACCACTGTTGATGCTGTGGATGCTCAGTCTGGTTTTAACTAATATTCAGCTAAATATCTATTAAATGCAGCTGAATTCAAAGTTGAGTGTGATAGATTATGTTTAAACTAACCCTGAACCTAACTCAAACCTTAACTTCAACGCATATTATAAAATGGATAGTTCTGGTCCTAAAATCTTATTGGCTGAGCTGCGTTCAAAGCCATTGTAAAATCCATGAAATACGCACAGCTATGACCACCTAACAACAACTGAATTTTTTATTTTACTACACTGCAGCACAAAGAAACTCTTCTGCTATTAATGCAATAATCTTTGACTCTCGTGCTGCTCTCATGGACCACCAAGTATAATGATATAGAACTCATTTTTTGTTAAAACTGAGGGGCTGACGGCTTATGTTGTCATCTAGAACCAGGCTGGTCAGCTAGCTAATAGGCCAACAGCCTCAACAACTCCATTATTAATATTACAGGCATGAATTAAAGTACTTACAGTAAGATTAACTGTAAAACGGCAGTAAAAAAGTCTAAAAAATGTCATGAATCAATTACATGCTTCAAATGTCTGTGTTTCAGTCAGAAGTCGCATCAAACCCAGGCAAATCCCAAACAGCTCTGTACTCCCTAACTAGCGTGCTAGCTATGAAAGTTTAGAAATTCTAGCCTCTGCATCATTTATCGAGTGTGGATATGGCCCAAATGACTATTTCTTCCTGTGGTACAATCGCAGTAACGCATGGCCTCTCGTGGCTTATTGCTTTTATCTAAATCTAACCCTAACCCTAATTTTGTTGATTAACAACTAAGCATCACCAGAAAGTTTGTAAATAATTTAAGTATGTGTAGATCATCTATACGGGATCATCAAAATAAAGTGTAATCAAAAGTATATAAGAATATGAAATATGTGAGAAATATGTGGAGAGGTGTGAATAGTTTTCACAGCAAAGGGGTTCTCACCCCTCTGTTTTCACCCCTCATTGCTCTCTAGCAGCTCAATACAGAGTCACAACATTTCACACACAGAGAGACAACAGTACCCTAGTTAATCTGATAACAGTTACAGGGAAAATATTTTAAATTAATTAGAAATATCCAAGTCGATTTCCCATCTGGAGGCAGAATGGCCCCTATAAGGGGGTCTGCATAAAGATGGTACAGGGACAACTAATTTCAACAACTTAATTTCTCAAGTTCATGTTTAGCAACCATGTCAAACTGTGTGCAGAGTTGAAGGCTGCACCATCAAAACTATAGGGAAAACATAGAAAAAGGAATTTATAGTCAATAAAGAAAGATTCTAATCTTCTTTTCAGGAGGGACATTCATTATTTTGGGATCAAAGTGTGCATAATTGAACCTGGATTCTTCAAGACACAGGTGACCAGCCTGGAACCAATCGAAAGAGAACTTTGTCGCCTGTGGAACCAGCTGACACCTGAGGTGAAAGAGAGTTATGGAGACAAATACCTGGATAACTGTAAGTGTATCTCTTCATGTAATAAGTAATATCACATTTTGATTTTCATACCTCATATTTTAAGCGTTCCCCTATTGCAAAATTGATCCTAAATCCATTTTATTCATATCTCTGAATGTGTGATCCTTCTGTCAAAAAACTACACTCTTAGGAAAAAGGGTTCTATATAATACCAAGTCCTTTGGCTTGTAACAATAGAGGAACCCTTTTTGGTGCTATATAGAACCCTTTTCAAAACGAAACGAATCTGCAGCACATCCTCCATGAACCATGAACACTAAAAAAACCCTTTGGCATGATTAAAGGGTTCTTTGCATTGTGAAAGCGTTCTTCAGATTGATGGAGAATGTGCTGTACACTTAAGATAGTGCTTCAAGGGTTCTTTAATAAAGAAAATGGCTCTATATAGAACCATGAACACTCAAAGAACCATTTGCATGATTAAATGGTTCTTCAGACTAATGGAGAATGTGCTGTAGATGATTCTATATAGAACCTTTGAAAAGGGTTCTATATAGTACCCAAAAGGGTCCCTCTATAGTTATGATGTCAGACTTATAATAGTAGAAGAACCCTTTTGGGTGCCATATAGAACCCTTTTCAAAAAGGTTCTTCATAGAACCATCTATAGCACATTGATGCACATTTTACATCAATCTGAAGAACACTTTCATGATGCAAAGAACACTAATCATGCAAAGGGTTCTTTGAGTGTTCATAGTTCTATATAGAACCATTTTCTTTACTAAAAACCCCCTAAAGCATCATCCTTCTTAAGAGTGTAGATGGTTCTATATAGATCCTTTTTGAAAAGGGATCTATCTATCACCAAAAAAGGGTTCTTCTATTGTTATGATGTCAAGCTTGACATAATAGAACCCTTTTTGGTGCTACATGGAACTCTTTTCAAAAAGTCTGTAGAACTCTTTCATGATGCAAAAAACCCTTTAATCATGCAAAGGGTTCTATGAGAGATCATGATCCTATATAGAACCATTTTCTTTACTAAAGAACCCTCGAAGAACGATAATTTTTAAGAGTGTACTTTATGGTATTTTTTTTTTAGATGTCATTTTATGATTGGCTTTATCGTTGTCTGTTTTTTGTTAACATGTAAAGTGTTTCAACCTTTTATTCTTTTTATTATTATTATTATTATTATTATTATTGCTGCATTTAGCCCCAATTCTTTCTTGTCTTGCCTGTTCCCCTCTCCACGCCTGCACTCTATCTAGACATCAAGATCCAGAGGTTGATTATGAATGCTATTTGCGACCCAGATTTGAGCAAAGTGACCAACTGCATGGAGCACGCCCTGACAGCTGCTCACCCGCGGACTCGCTACAGTGCTGGCTGGGATGCCAAACTGCTCTGGATCCCCATCTCTTATCTGCCTGCTTGTGTTGTTGACATTGCCTTAAAACTGGTGTTGCCTCGGCCAGCTAAGAGTGTTTAATGTTTAAGTTTGCCTTCAGATTCACGTTGGCCTGTTTACAGTATAGTTGAGTTTAGGCGTGTAGGCAGGCCCGACGCCTGAGCCACGTCATGAGTGCTGCATCTGAAAATCACAGGGGGGCAGCACCTCCATGTGAACTTACCCCACATCATGCCGAACAATCAGATGTTTTAAAATCAGATTACAAAATGTTAGCTCTGCCCACAGCATAGTTTATATTTATATTTATATATTTAATTTATCTTAGCTAGCGTTGAGCTGCTATCTCCATTATCTCTGCATGCACAACAACAGAACTGGTCTTATTCATTTTCAATACTCTTCTGCAAAGCTACACTGTCATAAAGTGAAGGGGACCAAACTGGGTACTTTAAAAAGTGGTAGGAACATGCAAGTTTTAGCTTGATCTGGCTACTGCACATGCACATACCTCGGCAATGAGGTGGAGCCTTTCCTGCTAGCACAAGTATGTATTCCTGCAGGCCAGACCATCTCCAAATAGGAGGAACATAACTCTAAATGGGTCAGTCTTAACTCCAGATTGACGTATGTTCTGTTAAATGCTGTGTTATTGGTCTAAAACAAATGAAAGCAAACAGGCTAAATGTTAACTCTCGTGGTACTATGTGCTTTGTGATATTTCATGCTTGACTTGTTAAAAACTTTTTTTTGTAAGTTTTCCATCATGCAGAAATACCATACTCTGCTAGCAGCTTAACCAGCAAGCTAATTGGCTCTTTTTATTGAAGGACGGGATTTTCTTCATAAACCGATGCAATATTGAGCATTACAAGCTTTCCCATTTTTTTTCCAACAAGCGTCCGGTCTCCTCCTTTATAATATCTCTGCCTCAACTAATTAGCCTAGCCTTTTTTCACCTTTTCACCTTCAACTTGAAAACAGCAAGTTTGTAAAGAGGTAGTAAACGCTTTCTCTGGGTGGGTAGGATGGTTCTCCCTCTCCCTTTCACTCAGCATGATGCTAGCCAGTGCAGGTGTCTGTTAGCTAATGTAACATGGATGGAATTGGATACGACTAAATTGGGGAGAAAATTGGAAAATATAATGCTAAAAAATAAACTGGTCATAAATACCTTTTCAGAGATGTTATTCCTAAATTTTACGTAGTGTATATTTACTGACTGCACATAATTTAATTGAAATTATGTAGTATTTTGTAATAATAAGAAGAAGATGAATAAAATTCAAATTTATTAAATCAACAAATATTTAGTGGCAAAAATTTAGGCCACTAAATAACCCCCCTGGTGTCGGGTCTGCATGTAAGAGTAGTAACAGGAGTTACTCCAAAGCACTGTGTGCCTGTAAATTATACAATGTATTTAAGCAATGCACAATAATTGTTTATCTTGTTTGGTGCAGTTGATAAGATGTTCTTCAAAATGTGTTCTTATATGCCACAGATGACCTCTCAATCCCTTCGCAATCGCCTTAGTCAACAGTACATCAAAAGGGGTGACCAAATAGACTGTGTGCAACAACGCTGTGCCTTTTGGCCATTGATTTTATTGCCTGTGTGACAGCCTATTCTATTTAAGTAAAAATAGGTTGTATGTTTTTAAAAACACTAACAATAGTGAATAGAATAATTGAATAAAACATTATAAGGAATAAAAACATTGTGTGGTGTTGGTTCTGTTGAAAAGCTGAATTGACGCTGATGTATAATTCAATAAAGCTGCATGAAATGGTCTTGTCAGCCCTTCACAGTTAAAATGGTTGACTATCAGTACAACCAGTTCCATAGGAAGATTCTCACTGTTGAAATAAATTATGAGGTCGTTAAAAAAGTGATAATAATAATATTGCTACATGCAAGCTAATGCTGCTGCCTGTTTTTGACAGCACTAAGCTACATGAAAGTAAGGCAGGTGTTCTGACAAATTGTGCTTCATTGTTGAAATGTCCTACCATAGCACATTTTTATCAGTAGTTCCATACATAACACCTCTAGGTAGGATATTTTGATAGCTTAAATCACTGGGTCAAAAAATACTACCAGCATTAAAACTATGAAGCTGAAGTCAACTTCTTGTTTGGACTTTCCCATTTCACCTTAAATGGTGCAGTAATTATTATAACTCCTCAGGCGCCACCATTTAAGGTGGAATGGGGAAATTTTATTGAGAAGCTGGTGAATGTCCTTATCAGAAAATAGTACCAGCATTAGCCCTTCAACAAGCTATCAGCCTGCTGGCAGGCCCAAAGTATTATTACACACTTATAAACTAAGAATAGGTCCATTAGTTTGCATTGAAGTCCCTGTAGCTACTGAATAATAAGCCTTATGTAATAATGCCTGGATTGTTAAGGGGTTCACAGAATAATAAGGATATTTTGATAAATCAGCCTAAATCAGCTTATCATGGGGGATTAGTAACATAAAGCTGAGTCTGTATGGAATTAACATTCAAAACACAGTAAAACTTTTAGAACACTGAGATACTACACTGTATGATATGCACATGCTCAGTAGGATCGCTTTATGGCGTTTGTATCTTTTTGTGGTTCTTATCTCTTTCAGATATAATTAGAAAAGCATTAAAAGAGGTGAAAAGCACTTTTAGTGTGGACATATCAGGCAGTGTAGCCTGAGTGCAGGTCAGCTTGTAGGCCTACTACACCGATAAAGCGTTAGCTTAAAGTGTTAGCTTACATGTAGCAATATTCATACTTCTCCTCTTTAACAACCTTGTCAATCAGAGGAACCAGTGATATTTGAGAGAAAAATATTCACGGGACAAACTTTATCAGCTTTGGTACATTTTTGATTACCACAGGATGAGACAGAGGCAAATTTCAAAAACTCCATTCATTTTTCTCATACAGAAACCCCTTTTAGACCCAAAGCTCCTTATATGGGCATTAGAGAGGACAGGACAGTGGTCTGTGAGTGAGGCCTGGGGCACATTCAATCTCAAAAAGCAGTGCATTGCTTTGCTACTGTTTCTAGATTGAAAGACATGTTTCATCGAAACATGGTGAAAAGGTGTTCCACCAGCTCTCTCCATCAATGGGTGTGTCAGAGGTGTTACCCAATCAGCAGTAATGTGTAAATAAACCCTTCCATATTAAAAAGGCAGTGGATTCTAATAAAGTCCTCTACAAATGCGCCCACTGCAGCTTGGTGTACGCAACTACTGAAGACATTAGAAGACGTTTTGTACAGTGTTAAACATGTTTAAACCCATTTCATCAGGCTTTGAAAATTCTTCTAAAAGAACACCAAGAATAGCTTTCTTAGCTGCTATAGTTGCATCGCTGGCATAGCCCAATAGAGTATTCAACACACATTGTTTTCAATTATATAGATATTTTACAACGTTTTGTGGGGTTGAATGCAGCCCTGCACTGCCTTTATAATACTAGACAGCCAATCAGAGTACGTTATGTACATTTATTAGTCTTAAAGGCACAAAAACATAAAAGGCTGTTAACATAAAAAATAACACATTTTTTAATTAATAGGATAAAAAGAGGTTAAAATGGTCGTGAATTAGGGCTATTTTGGTACATAAACCACACAAATGTAAGAAGTGAAAAATATAGACGTATATTGGCCCTTTAATTCAACACAACACGTGCGCGCGTCTTCCTCAGATTCCGCTCCGCCCTCAGAGTCTCGAATGGCGCGCGAGCACCTGTTCACGCGAGTTGTCCGTTATTCAGCGCGCAGTGATCAGCGCAGAGAAACCGTGGTCTTGCTAACTCATTAGCCTGTTAGCTCCCATCTCAAAGCGGACAATGAACTCTTTGAGAACTTTAATGCGGACGAGGAGCCTCGGGGTCTTCGAGTTTTTCGTGAAAGACGCGAATAAGTCGACCGTCCGTGGTCGGCAGTCCGGTGTGTGGAGCCAGGAGAGGCGCTTCAGTCACGGTTCTTCAGCCGGAATTCACCTCAGCAGCGACCGAGGGGCCGGAGGAGAACTTCTACCAGCGCTCTGGTGAGTCAGCTCTGTGGACTGAAACGCTTTGTGGACTCTTTAAACCGTTAAAGAGTAAACCGAGGATGTTAACGCTACACTCTCTAAAAAGATGGTTCTTCAAGAGTTCTTTAGTAAAGACTGGTACTATGTATAACCACGAACACTCAAAGAACCCTTTTGCATGCTTTAATGATTCTTTGTATGGTGAAATGGTTCTTCAGGATAATAGAGAATGTGTTGTGAAAATGCTTTTTGAAAATGGTTCTATAAAGCACCCAAAAGGGTTCTTCTGTTGTCTAATGTCAAGCTTGTAGCTATAGTAGAACCCTTTTGGGTGTTTAATAGAAAAGGTTATATATAAAACCAATTACAGTGCATTCTCCATTAATTTGAAGAACTCTTTCCTGATGCAAAGAACCCTTAAATCATGCAAAGGGTTCTTTGAGTGTTCAGAATTCTATATAGAACCACTGTCTTAAAGAACCTCCTTTTTTTAAAAGTGTAGCTAACAGGCTCTTGAACACGTTTCCTGTTCTAAATGTTTAGTTACACGCTGAAAAACGAAACAGTACAGCAGCTTTGAATCGCTGTATTCAGTACACTTAAAACAAGATGGTCCTTAAAGGGTTCTTTAGTAAAGGGAATTCTATCTAGAACAATGATTTCATGCTGAAATGGTTCTTCAGACTGATGAAGTTGTTGAATATAGTTCTATATAGCACCAAAAAGGGTTCTGCTGTAGTTATAATGTCAAACTTGTAAGAATAGAATAACCCTGTTGGGTGCTAAAAAGTAAGTAAGTAAGTAAACTTCATTCATGTACCACTTTGCTAAGACAGAGATACAAAGTGCTTCACAATAAAATAATTAAAAAAAAAGTTAAAATAATAAAAAAAGTAAACAAGTACGCACGCACTGAAGCACATTCCCTACAATCACAGCTCAAACAAAGCTAGAGAAAAAGATTCTGTATAGAATCATATACAGCAGTTAGTTCCGGCCACGCAAGCTGATTGGTTGAGAAGCGTTCTAACCGCGCTGTTATTTCGCCATAACATCATGGCTTTTTCACAAACACTGTATCACGCCGCTGAGACGCTGTTGCTAAGCAACGAGTTTGACAACTGTAGGAGACGCTCAAGCCATTTGAACGTTTTTACTTCTTACTTTGCCACAAACAGAAAATGGACACTTCTAAGATTGCATTTGACCGACAGCCGATTTGGTCAGACTCTGAAGATCAGACTACACTAAATTTCGAAACTCTCATTACCACTGAGCAGCTTTTCAGTCGGCAGCTGTGACAGAAGAACAGCTAAACAACCTGGAATCAGCCAGAAATGAACCGAATATCATTCGCCAAACGTCTGATCTTCAGAGTCTGACCAAATGGGATTGAGCCATAAAACTGCCTCAATAAAAAAACAAAAAGCTGCTCAGTGGTGATGACAGTTTCTGAATTTAGTGCAAGGAGCTGGAGAACGAACTGCCGGCTGTGCAGCGAGTGGGCGGAGCTCATTACTCTGACGGAGCAACAAGCTGCTTGTTAAGGAACTATAATTTGGTGGAAGGAATTGCTAACATTAAAACATATTAAATGACACGTTCACGGCCCAATTTATTAATTTATTACTTTATTTATTTAATGAGTAATATCACAGCTGTGATTTGGTCAGCCGTGATGTTATTTTGTGATAACACACTCCCTCTCCTGTTCTACTGCTTAAATACACAGCACATTCTCCATCATGCTTAAATCGTTCTTTGTATGGTAAAATGGATCTTCAGACTGCTGAAGAATGTGTTGTATATGGTTCTATATAGGGCCAAAAAGGGTTCTGCAATAGTAACGATTTTAAGCTTGTATCAATAGAAGAACTGTTTTTGGTGCTACATACAACCATTTTCAAAAAAACCATATACAACACATTCTCCTTCAGTCCTTCAGAAGAACAATTTCACCACGCAAAGAACCATTTAAGCATGAAGTGGTTCTATATAGAACCTTTTTAATGAGTAACTTCACCCTAAGACCTTTTTTCATTAACAGCTGAAATGCACTGCTCTGTAATAATAAAATATGCCAGCTTTGCTTAAAATGTAAACGTGTTTCCAAACTGTAAAAATAAAATTTTTATCATGGTCAGTTCCGCCTCTGCAGCACACCTCTGGTTCAACTCTGCTATTGGCGCGGATGACGTGTCATCGTCCTAAAGTATGATGACACGTCACAGTATGCAAATCAGTCCACCAACGTTATCGCCCCCTGATGACGCCCCCCACGTTTTCTATACATATCGTCTCATCGCATTTATCTCGTTATTCAGTGTTCTAGTTAGTTATTATTGTTCGTTCTGAGTTACTGTGTTTGAAGATATTGTAGTTTTGAGCCTTTGAGTCTTAGCTAGGCTATGTTTGCTAGTCAGTTTGCTAGCTATATTTACTATTAAGTCTTTCAAATTTAGTTTTTCCAATTGTTCAGCATTTTTGAATTTAGCTTATTCGGGTTGAGTTCAATGGGTCCAGCTTGTGCTTACTACGGATGTAAAAGCAGTATTGGGTTGCACACATTTTTCACTAATTTAGTACTGGTCAGCCAGTGGTCACGCATGATTAGTCTGCATCCCAGTACCAAGATTGTCAGCATACATGTTCGCAATGCACACTCTGATGAGGGGAGCTTCCCCAGCTTTATGGAGGTCAAATGTGTTATCTGCCTGAGCGACATCTTCACCTGAAGCCTGACGGTGTCCCTTCATCTGCAGAGCACATCACATTTCTGGCTAAGGTAAGTTCATGTTATGTTTACTACAGAGCATTTTACCTAAGTTAGGCACGTTGTCAAATGTCTGTTTAAAACTGAAGGAAGCTATCTAATGATAATATAACGCCATATGTGAATGATGCCATTTGGTAGTTTTTTCTCTCTGATAAAGAGTTGGTGCAATTTTTACCACGTTTTTCAGATGCCAGTAAGGATAAGTTAGTCCGCAAACTAGCTAAAAATATAGCTAGCCAAGTTAGCTAACATAGAACATAACGTAAAGTTACTGTCACAGTAAGTTTACAGAAGGTGAGTGGATTCAGTTTTAACTTAAATATTTAGGTGAATACATTAGAATTTTTTTAGATTTTGCCAAATTTGCAAATTTTAGGTGGTATATTGGTTGGTTGGTGGTTACGTGATGTTTACTCTTGCCTATTTGTATTTTATTTAATTGTAAAAAGAAAAAAGAAAAGGTTGTAATGGTATAATAACGTTTTCTTTTTTAGGTGAAAAACTGTAGAGACATGACATGTCAGACAGATTCAACTGGCCTGCATGATGTCTTTGTCCAGGCACATGCGAAACCATCCAGAAAGTCTAAAGGTAGGCACAGAGATGTAGAGCTCACTTGTGTCTGATTGTGCATTGTGTAGATCTTAAAATCTGCATGATTATTATTTCTGTTATGAAATGTACAGCTACTCAGGCAAGAGTACATAACAATAGTCGCATGTGACGTGAGCCGCTCATGAAAACGTTTTGTACCTCCAACTCCCTGAAGAGATCTGGGCTTGACCTTGACCCTGATGACTATGTATACAAGTATAATCTAATTATTAGATGCTGCTCATAAAATTGTTAAACCACTGAGATAAAGAACTTAATTAATTAGTTTTTAGTGATGAGAGTTTCTCACACTATACATTTTCTTTCATTTAGATTAACTTGCCATCTGGTGCACTTGTTTTAATTAACAAATGAATAACTAAGTCATATTTTCAAACAGCTGCAGGCTGTGTTGACAACCTCGTGGGTCTGCTGTGTGACCATGTGGCAAAAGGACCTCATCCCCATCAGGAGATCTTAAGCCAGGTGCTTGTTCCTAAACACCTCTGTACTCATTATGTTTGACCCAACAAAGTGAGGCAGCAGCAAATCTTCAGTCATGCTTCAGGAACAACAAATGCAGCTCAAGCAAGGTAAGATATCGATTTAATAGATATTTAATATCTAATTGTCTTGTCACCATGTGGCAATATGCTGTTCATTGAGATGAGGAGCATCTGTTCTAATCTGTTCTTTATCACCCGATTCTTTCCTCAAATTGTATAGTAAGTGCCTGTTTTCCAACCAGAGCCTCCACCTGTCCTTATGCCAGCCTGCACCAGCAAGAACCTCCACCCGTCCTTATGCCAGCATGTACCAGCAAGAGCCTCCACCTGTCCTTATGCCAGCCTGCAGCAGCAAGAGCCTCCACCTGTCCTTATGCCAGCCTGCAGCAGCAAGAGCCTCCACCTGTCCTTATGTCAGCCTGCATCAGCAAGAACCTCCACCTCTCCTTATGTCAGCCTGCACCAGCAAGAATCTCCACCCGTCCTTATGTCAGCCTGCACCAGCAAGAACCTCCACCCTTCCTTATGTCAGCCTGCTGTATAAATCAAGGTAAGAAATAAAAGTAGTCAGGTAAGGTTTTACTAATTTTTTATTTTTAAAGTATGATGTTCATGAACACACTGCAAAACTATGATCATCCTCTGCCCCTCAACAGTAGGCTGTTCATTTATCTTCCAATATGCTCTTATTTTTTGCAGCACCTGATTAGTTTACCTAAAACTGTGTAGCAAGAGCCTTCACCTGTTTGCCAGCAAGAGTGTCACCCGTTCTCACTCTTACTCAAAGGCTGTGGCCCAGCCTTTTTTCAGTAAGACAAATTAGGCAAATCTCAGTGCTACATGCTAGAATGTTTTACTGCACTCTTTATTAATCTTTGTTCCTGTAGATGGAGCACACCTTTAATAGCAAAACAGTTACAGGCCAAGTCATTATACCTCTCAAGGCAGCATACCTAGTTTATAGATATTATGCATTTTTAGTTCACCATTTTTTTAATCTAATTACTTATTTTTTATTTTTTGCAAGCTAATCAGTTTTGCATAAGGACTCCAAACATTGTTCCAGATGACCTTACAGAAAATCCCCAGGAACCTTCATTCATGGTGGTGACTATATTCAGCAGCAGCATGCCACCATGGACCATTTCAGCTGAGCTGGAGGAAACAGTGGATGTATAAGTATTACCACAGAGAAGTGAGTGTCTTTTAGTGAGACGGAAGGACAAATGAGAATACCACCTCTAATTAACGAAATACCAAAGCCTGCAGTTGTCTGTTAAAATAAACATATCCTCAAAATGAATTGTCCTGTGATTTTGTAAAATTATTTGATTACTCTTTTCTGTTTTTTTTGTAAATGCGTTCTGAATGTACAATTATTAATAAATGGAACTATATATGTGCAAATTACTTAAGATCAAGCAGGGGAAGAAATCCTATGTAAGCTCCATCATTCTCATGAAACTCCTCTCTAATCTGTGCCACTGCACAGGAGGGAATAACCACACGCACATGCTGATCTAAGTACCCCCCAACACTGCCCCACAAAGTTGCGGTATGCGAGATGTCTAACAATTGTAAACAACCTGTTTGGCACGATACTGTCTCCTAGTTATACTTCTAAGGTAAACTGGCAGCATGCTAAAAACCTAGATTGTGAAGTTGGTAATGCTAGAGAACAGCTAACGTAAGATAACTAGACTACATAGATTGGATTAGCTTTTTTCCTTGGCCACCTCCCTTCAGCAAATTTTCATAAAAGTAGAGAGCTTAAAATTTGACTACATTTAGACAGTGTTTAAAGCAGTCTACTTGATTTGTTCGAATACTACTGAGTGTTAGCTTATCTGTTACACACACACACCTTCTAAGCCGCTTATCCTTCTGGGATGCGGGGAGAGCTGGAGCCTATCCCAGCAGCCATTGGGTGGAAGGCCTTATCTGTTAAGCTATTTGCTGTTTCTCTTTCCAGTTCATATTTGGAAACTAAGTTACAAAAACCTATTTTGATTTCATTGTTTTTGTGATGTCATGAAAATGAATGCTTTTTAAAATATACCCACTTTTTCAGCCTGCAGCAGTTTAGCTCTGCTCATTCACTCTGAAGTCATAAGAAGTTTTCAAGCCCAGACTGCTTTTCGAACAAGACATGATGCAGGGCAGCCAATCAGAACAGAGCTCATTCACATATACCGGTCTTAGAGGCAGGCAGTGTGATGGTATTTTTCATCTTTATTGTGATACGTTTTTGTTATTGTGATAAACGGTACTCTCTTTTTGAGCATGTTGTGTCTTCCTTCTTAAATAACACTTGACCACCTTCATGTTTCATTACAAGTAGAGCATAATTAGTCTTGTGTAATAGCATTTTGCACAGTGCACTAAACATGCGTGACATTAAATAAAAATCATTTTACTCAGTTTTTTAAATGTGACACTACTAGTGCATTATATCTGTGTTAAAATGTTTTGATGTAAATATCATGAAATGATAGTTCACCTACCCCAATCAGTTGTAAAGACACAGTAACAAAAACAGCCTGTTCATTTTTTTAGTAATCAGAAGTGATTGGAAAATGTTGATAATAAAATTTAAATTATACATGGAAAAATATATATTACAGGAGTGACTTAGGGCCTTTAATGAAGATCTTCGATTTCTGAATTCTTTCCTCTAAACCAGAGGTCACTAATAGGCGGACCACGGTCTGAGTCTGGACCCAGACACTGTCCTATGTGGACCTGGACCTATAACCGATGGAGAACTATGGAGAATTATTTCATTTTGACGGGGTGGTCCTATTTTAATCTGTGTAACCTCTCTAGCCTTTACGGTATCGCTTTAGCGACCCAGGAAACTCACGGACCAATCTCATGTGTTGTAAATATCACACGTGACGATACTCAGCCAATCAGATCTGTGCATTACGATGAGCACCGAGACTTGAGTGAGTGATGCACACACAGGGGGCGAGGTGAGAAACAGCAGTCGGAGAAGAAAGGGAGCCAGAGGAAAGTTAATTTACATGGCATGCTCTAAAAAGAGAAAACTGACAATATATGTTGTTGAAATTTTACTGATTTGTACTTTGTTTAATTTGACATTCAGTTGTTGACTGCATAAAATATTAATATACCTACTAGGCTACTTCAGAATACAGTATATGGCACGGAATCATGTTTGACATTATGATGTTCCAGACCTTTGCTTGAGCATGTTTTCTCTAACTGGACCTTATTGAATTTGAATTAAAGACCCCTGCTATAAACCTTTCTTAGGAAAAAAAGCTGAAAATGTAAAATTATTTAACATGATTCTAGCACTGTGCAGCTGGAGAGGTTTAAAATCATTGGCTGTAAAAACATGAAGATCCAGAATGATGAATAAAGCTGTAGATCTTTCCATAATGATTTAAAAGCCATAAGTTGTCACAAAAATCCTTGAAATGTGGCATAAAATATCTTTGGTGTCTAGTTAATAAGAGAGGGAAACTAGAGAGAACTGTTTCTGTGTACTAGAGGCATGGGTTCAGTTCTTGTGCTCATCCAGAGATGGGGAAGAAGCGGGAAACACAACTTTTAGACAGTTACGTGTTGGTAAAGATGAATCTTTTCATTTTCCCCACACAAAAAATCCCAAAATATTTATAAGAATCATAATAATAATATTCTACAGAATACTATACGCCTTATTATGTGGCACGCAGTGACCAAACCTCTCAGTAAATTAAGTTAGAGAAACAAGTTTTCCTGTAGGTAATAGGTGATGTTATACTGGCTAATATAGTCTTTCTTCTCTATACACAGCGGTAGAAGAGGTGAAGGCCTTTTCTCGGGGCTTGAAGATTTGCTTTTCCACACAATCACTGAGGGAGAGGAGAGGGTTCCCATCTCTCACTTTATTGCTGTGAGTTGCTGCTGTGTTGAAAAGGAAAATGTTGATATTTCGTTACTCTGTCTGCACAGTAAAATCCCCAGTGTTGAATTTAAACACCAGCTGTGTTAAATTACCTCATATAGATTTAAATTAATACCTATGGTTTTTATTTGGGTTCAGTCTTATGTAAATACTGTAAGGGTTAATTCAACATTGTTGGTGTTTACATGTAAACATTAATTAAACACTATACTGTGTTTTAAATCAACATGAATCACATTTAGATGAATTTTAGGTGAATTTATCTGGGTGGGAAAAGTTATTACAGTTGTGATCACAGTTGTGAGCTGTTACATAGTCAGATTCAAATTTGCATCTTTTGTCTATTTTGGAGTGTCTATTTTTATAATATATACATTTAATTAATTACAAGTTAATAAGTTCGGAAAACAATAATGTACAAATTGTTATTTAAAGATGTAAACTTGTTTTGTGGTGCTTATTTCCCCCCCTTCCCCCATTTAGGAATACACTTTGCACTATACTAAACTTGTGGCTATTCACTACTTTTTAGGTACATTGCAGGTACATTACATGTAGCTACAGTGCAAAATTAAACAAGGCACTTCAGGCACCTAACACGCCTCAGCTGATCAGCTATATTTGGGCTATGAAAATTGTATAAATTTGATTTTTGTGCAAACCTTTGTGTCTCACTAAGGCACTTAAAAGTACCGGCCTGCTGACCTCAGACCCTCGTCTTCGGGACTGCATGGAGAAGCTGCGCCAAGCTGTTCGAGAGTCTACTGGCGAAGTCATGATGGACCGGGAACTCTTCCGCAAGTGGGTAGCCCAAATCCCCTTTCTGTTTGTTTCATGCTTGTGTACGTGTCGCATTGGCTTCACGGAGAGGAGCTATTCATAACCTCACAGCATTCCACTTCTCTGTCTGGTGCTGAGCCTCTACATCTTGGATAAAAATACACAGTGTAGTGGAGCTGTTTCACAATGAGATGTGTATCTGCACACAGCACTGTTTGTGCATTCCTTAGGTGTATAACCAGAATGGGGCAGGATTGCTGGATAAACACTGACGACAGCTGCTCTGGTCCTCTGGCACCAGGCTTACTCACTCAGAGCACACCACTGTTGGCAAACAGAGTCTGGTGGCCTGAATATGTCAAGCATGAAAACATACATACGTGAACAGGATTAAAATGAGAACTTCTTTTGTTATTGGAAATGTTTTCATTGGGATAGCATGTCCGGAATAAATTAAGTGTAAAACAGGAATTTAACTTTAATAAAAAAAAAAATGATGAAAAAAAATCATAACCTGTCCCGATACTGAATTTTACTCTTTATCTCTATTGAACAGAACTATATACGGTCAAAAGTGAACTAGAGAGAAAACCCTGTGATAGAGCACTTAGACCTTTATCAAGAGCTGTGAAAGTCAAGTCAAGTCAGCTTTATTGCCAATACTACAATATGTACAGGACATACAGAGTATTGAAATTGCGTTACTCTCAGACCCCATGGTGTAGCAATAACATTAAATAGACAGTAAACAGGAAAAGTGTGAATTTAAATAAACACTAAAAAACACTAAACACTTATCGTAAAAATAAACACTAATTGTAGAAAAATAGAATAATAAAAAATAATATAAATATAGAAGGTCCTGAAATGAACACTAAAGTGACATACGGCACATACAGATTAAGGTCTGTGGGTATAAATAGTGCAAATATAAACAGTAGTGCAATTAGAATGAGCTTATGGAGCTGTTAAAGTGATGAGTGCATAACAGAAAGTGATGGGTGCGTAACAGTCCCTGAGAATGTCAGAGTTCAGTACTGGGGAGTGGGGGTCAGGAACCTGTGTTTGACCAATACTGTTTTTTGTCAGAGTCTGTTTGCTGTCAGAGTCCAGTATTGGGGAGTGGGGGTCAGAAGCCTGTATTTGGGTCCAAACTCTGTGTGTGGGGGGGCAGAAGGGGGGGCAAAGTAGGGAGAGAGTTCAGCATCTTGACAGCCTGGTGGATGAAGCTGTCCCCCAGTCTGCTGGTCCTGGCCCGGAGACTCTGCAGTCTCCTCCCTGATGGCAGCAGGCTGAAGAAGCTGTGTAGTGGGTGAGTGGGATCACCTGCCATGCAGAGGGCTTTCCGGGTGAGATGGGAGCTGTGCATCTCTTGGAGGGAGGGGAGGGATGTGCCAATGATCTTCTCAGCTGCTCTCACGATGTGCTGGAGTGTCTTGCGGCAGGACACGGTGCAGGCGCCATACCACACGGTGATGCAGCTGGTCAGGATGCTCTCGATGGTACCTCTGTAGAAGGTGCACATGATGGGGCTGGGGCTCTGTCTCTTCTCAGTTTGTGGAGGAAGTAGAGGCGCTGATGAGCCCTTCTGGCCAGTGATGCTGTGTTGCCCATTGATGGTCAGAGGAGCATGCTGGGTGCACGTTCTCCTGAAGTCCACGGCGATCTCCTTCGTCTTCTCAGTGTTCAGATGGAGACTGTTGTGTCTACACCACAAGGCCAGACAGCCCACCTGTAGTTTGTCTCATCGTTGTTGCTGATGAGACCCACCACAGTCGTGTCGTCCACAAACTTGATGAAGAGGTTGGAGCTGTGTGATGGTGTGCAGTCGTGGGACGTCAGAGTGAATAGGAGGGGGCTCAGTACACATCCTTGGGGGGCCCCCGTGTTCAGTGTGATGGTGTGGGATGTGTTGTTGCCGGCCCGTACTGCCTGTGGTCTCCCAGTCAGGAAGTCTGACAGCCAGTTGCGCAGTGAAGTGTTCAGCCCCAGCCTGTCCAGTTTGAGAACGAGCTGCTGGGGGATGATGGTGTTAAATGCGGAGCTGAAATCTATGAATAGATTCATATCTATGAATAGTGCTCCAGTGTAAAATACTGCATGGAATGTACTAATAAACCCATGGCATATACTGCTCTGTATCTTATAAACATCATGTAGATACCATACCAGTCATTAAATAACAGTGGAAACCTTTACTTTATAAGCAGCCTCTGTTTATCAAAAAAACACTTGAAACCACTTTTTTTTTGTCCCAATCCCATTTCTTATTTTTACCCCCACCCCTTGTTTTTGACTGCCACCTTGCCCTTTGAAACTGAGTTAAGGCATAGTGGTTAAAATCGTCCCTATGAAATGGGACCCTCAAATACAAAAAGAACATTACTTCATTAACAGGCAACTAGTGGTGCTCTGTAGGTGACCCTGTCAGTCTGCAGTGATAGCAGAGGAGGGTAAAGTTCAGCAACCATAGTGCTGGGCTTTAGTTACATTTAGGGAATCTTATACCTTCAAAGAAGGGGGAGGCAACACTTATTTGAAGGCATACTAATTCTTCGGTGATATGAAGTTGAGGTCAGCTGTTCGCCAGCTTCTTTTTCGAATTTTCCCACTCAACCTTAAATGGTGCAGCAGTTACATTCTGGCATTTAGCTAGCAAGCTACCAAAACATCAGCTTACTACTAGCGACTTTACATGCTTGTTATGAAGAAAAGGACCATAATTCAATAAAATGACATTAAACTAAGATAATACAATGGTTATGGTAATTTTTTAACAGAAAAAATACATTTGCGGGTTTCTTTGTTCGCTTGCACAGCCATCTTGCTGGTTTTTCTTTTCCTTTTCTTTCATAACACTCAGTTTGGGGTGTGCCTCTGAAAAACCTCTGTTTGGGGTGACATGTAGCCTTAACACTTTCCCCTAACCCTCTATTTCAACAAAAAAATTGGGACACTCTACCCCTAGGCGTGAACGCACAAAACGGAGGGGTAAGGGCTAAGTGGTAGGGGCGAGGGGTAAAATAGGACTGTGCCTTTCTTTGCATGCTCCAAATATAGAGTTAATGATGTTTCAGCTTAAACCTTAACTGTGAATATCACTGATTACACCTGTTAGCCTATTGTCTGTTAAACTACTTGTTAAAACAAAACCAGGTTGTGAGGTAAGGTTAAGTTCAGTCTTATTTTGTGACTTTTACTTCATTCACTCAGTTTGTGATGCAAACATACATGTATTGAGACTAAGCATTTTTTCCTTCTTTAAGCTAGGTGGGGAGAAAATTCTCTTTATGCTGCTCCTTCTGCTGTGCTGTAGCTCTGTGCATTGCAATTGTTTACAAGCTCTGTTCAGAGGAGGTGTTTTATCACAAGACCAGAGCGTGATAGCAGAGTAGGAGCTTGTGAAAGCAGAGCTGCTCTGCATGTCTAAAGATCTCTGGTGAAACTTTAACTTGTTTGACTAAATTGCAGTGACGGTAATTCAAAGTGTTTGTGTACTACCATGTGTTTAATATTGCGGCATATCAAGTTACTGAATATCGGCACATGTCTACTGCCCATCCGTCCACTGTGAGAAAACCGCTCAATGCTATGGGTCTGAAACAATGTGTAGCTGTTAATTCTCTGTTACTGACAAAAGGAAAAAAAAAAAATCAAAGAAGCTGCTGGTGAAAAGAATAGAAGCCGTAATAAAAGCAAATGGTACACACAGTAAAAACTGAAAAATTTTATATTATATTTATTTGTTTAGAGTTCCTGTGTTTCCTGCTTTTTTCCTGGCACTAAAAAATGAACAGGTTGTACTTTAATAGCCATTTTGATTGGACATTTAATAATGAAAGGTGGCGTCCGACTTTTCCTCACTACTGTATGTAAAGCCCATGTTGTATAACATCTCGAGTGCATAACTTTTGACATTTAAAATGTAGCTCTTTATTCTGTTTTTTTTTCCTTCTTATATACTGAGCAGTATGAATTGAGCATTGGGATAGACGCACGTTACTGTAATGGAACTACATTTCACAGTAATGTAATAATTCAGATTCCATTCTCTCCAAGCCAACACCTCTGATTACTTTTGTGTCTCAAAACCAGTAGGTCTGCGATCAGCTCTCATTTTTAAAAGCTTTTTTTTAATGATGTTTTACCCAGTCTCCATGTTCATGCTATTTTTTGAAAGCTAATTTTCAATAATGCTCTTGTCAACCTCTGTGTTTGTGTCATTTTCTGTCCTACACTGATTTTGTGTGTGCGCATTACAGCACATGCTGTGTCACGTTTGTTGTTCATTTTGCATGGTTAATAAAAGAGGTGTGAAAGGGGTCAGACCAGTGACGCTCAGCAGATTATGTCTGTGCATGAAATGGGTTTTTAGAGGTTTAGTCTGTTTGAGTCCACAATAGAAGCACATTTTGCTGTGTGTATTGTTGTTTGCCTGAAAAAAATATCTAAATATTTCAGCTGCTTGTAATGTTCAAATGCTAATAATGAAGATGAATTTCCTGAAGAGTTTCTGAAGTTTTGTTGTTCTTGTCAAGGTGAAGCCACAGATGTTATTTACTGATGTTATTTACAAGGTTACTCAAACACATTTAAAACTACTTACCAAGAAAAAAAAAAGATTACTAAATAGTTCCTCACTTGAATACAAAAATAGTTAAGATTGTAACTCAGACTTCTGTCTTTATAACAGATTTGTAGGTGGAAACATTGTCCTGCTGTCTCTGGCATTTAGAAAGAAATTCATAATTCCTGAGTTTGAGGAGTTTATGGCCATTATAAACCAGATCTACAACAGAGCTAAAGAGGAAGATGATGGACAAGTAGGTATTCTGGAAAAGTGTTTGTATTCATCTTCTAACCTTGTATCCCTCTGCTGTTCTCTTTGCAATTAAATAAATATATTAAACGAAAAATGTGTTTTTATGTGTCAGGTGGCAGACTACATTCCTCATCTTGCCAAGTTTAGCCCTAGTCTATGGGGGATGTCTCTATGCACGGTGGACGGTCAGAGGTAAGTAGATGAATTTATGCAAGTGTAGTTCTAATATAACTTACTGTCCCTAAACACTGAGCAGTTATCAAACTTACTTTATCTGACATATAATCTGTGATCCATTTTATAGTAGCGTTCCAGAAGTTAGGCTGCAGCTGAAAAAGGTGATTTCTTGGTGTTCTGTCCTATGAAGGCTCCTCTTTTGCTGGCAAGAGTGGGCCTGAAAGATTTGTCATCTTTATATCAAAATTACAGTTTTAAATTGCGAGAGTGCAATTTTAATTATAGTCTGTTATGTTATCAACAATATTGTTTTAACGAGTTTTTAGTGGGAAGGTTTTACCTAATAACACAGGGCTTGTGAAGCAGCTGCAGATACGTTCAGAAGCAACCAAACACCTATTTGCTGTGTACATGACAGAACAACCACAACTGGTCGTGTGGCACACAGCATTTGTTTAGTATTGAAATCAAACCAGAAAAAATTGGATATGCTCGGGTTCTCGGCCAAAAGCACATGCCTGGGTCTTAATTTAAAGAACATAATTTCAGCTAGAGGAGAGAAGACCTTAGCAAAAATGTGACTGGTAGATATGCAGCACATATGTTTGTAGCAGAAAGCGAAAAAAATTAGTTTTGAAATGCAATTCTCTCTTTTAAAGGCACTCAGCAGGAGACACCAAGGTGCCATTTTGCCTGCAGTCATGTGTGAAGCCACTGGAGTATGCTATCGCCGTACATGAGCATGGAACTGAGCGTGTGCACCGCTTTGTAGGAAAAGAGCCCAGTGGGCTCAAGTTCAACATGCTCTCCCTCGATGAAGACGGTGGGTGAGAAAACACTGCTTGTCCTGCATTAATGACTTAGACTGAAAAAGTCAGTACTTTAATATACTAATACTAGTATATTAAATACTTAATGAAAGCTAGTGAAGAACAGTTAGCATTTTATCAGTCAGTCATGTCAAGTGGTCCCCAGTTATTACTTGAGGCCCTATTTATTCAGGCAAATTAGCATTTTGGGGGAAGTATTCCTTTAAATATTATGAAAACATAATTTTTTATGAAGCATTAGCAGTGCAATAGCTGAGATTTCCACACAATAAACTGGAACATGGCTGGTTCAAATCCTGAACAGGACACCAAAGGGATTTTCAGCATTGCACCTGCGTTTCACCTGAAAAATACTTTGAGGATTTAAGTTACTCTCAAATAACTGTTTCTGGCACATCGTCTTTTATGTTCTCTCTAAAGGTTAATCAAAACTATGAAATATGAAAACTATGGTTCTGTGTTTGGCCCCATTTGTCTATGAGGGCACTGTGTGGTGGCCTTGAAACAGAGCAGTGTTTGGTGCATGACCTGCTTTGAATAAACAAACATTCAAGCGTATGATCTTACATCATAGCCAGTTTAAACAAATACTTTCTAACATCATTGATATGGGTAATTCATTAATCAGTGACACCACCACACCATAGAGTCCTATATGTTGTAATCATAGAGGTGATTTGCTACTGGTATTAACATGTGGGTTTTCTATTCTCAGATAAACCTCACAATCCCATGGTAAATGCTGGAGCAATTGTCATCAGCTCTCTTATCAAGGTAAACAGACATGCCTAGCATGCTGTGATTCTCACTGCTGAGTCACTGACATCCAGCAGTGATGTGATAATGTAAATCTCCCCTGCTTGCTGTAAGGTGCTCTCAACATGTGCAATGTGTGCTAATGTGTTAAACTCACTAGCCACTTTATTAGAAATGTTACCTTGTAGTGACACCTTACCGGTGTAAAGTAAGAGAATGTAATGCTTAATGTACAGTTTGTGTGTTAGCCATCAACTAGTCCTTCATCCTTTTCATCCAGAGGAGATAATATTTAATGGATATCAACAACACTTTTTTCTGTTTAAGAAAATTGTGTATTGATGCCTAAAATTTGCCAAAACATACATTGGACTTTTTTTGAGAAAAATGTTACACAAACGTGTGCATTACCCTCTCATGCCTCTTACATGAAACAGTAACACAAAAAGCATGGTGGAGGTAGAGCTGGACCAAGGAGACGAGAGCGTTTTTAAAAGGAGTGGTCACTTTTCAGCTTGCACAAAGAGAATTGCCCAGACAAGACTCCAGTCTTTCTAATAGGAAGGTGCTCAAACAGCTGTAAATGACAAAGAAACATGATCATTCAAATTTTAAAATATATATAGATAATGTTTAAATGTATATAGAAAATAAAGTAAACAAAATGCCCTTATCAGTAGGTCATGAGAGAGTCAGGCAAGCCAAAAGTCCACAGGTTGTGTCATACATGAAATTCGAAATGGAAACATGTCAAACATAACTTTTATTTATCGATAAACAAAACTTATGCTACCACAGTAGTTTTGTACAGGAAATTACATTTTTATGTAAACCATATTTACTGCAAAAAGTCAGCCTAATGGAATCAGGCTTTTTTATGCTTTACATTTTATTGCTTGTAATTTATGCAGAAAGTCAATAGTAACAATGTCAACTGGTCTGTTTCTGACCACAGAGCTGCTCTTCGCTGGATATTTTGGGTAGTGGTCCACTCTTAACCTAGCAGAGACACTGACGTGTGTAAAAACTTCAGCAACCCCAGATACTGTTGTGTCTTGTACACTCACACAAGCACGACTCACACACAACTTTGTCAGTGGCACTGTTGAGAATGGACCACCACGCAGTGCAGCCTGAAAGCATCAAATTCAAAATCGACATATATTTTCCAAAAAACACTAAAATTCTCAGTTTAAACATATATGTTGTCTTTGTACTATTTCTAATTGAACATGGGGTTTAAATGATTTGCACATTATTGCATTCTGTTTTGATTTACATTTTGCCAGGCGTTCCATTTTTTTTTTTGGAAACAGGGCTGTAATTTTAGAAGCTACATATTTCCTTCGTTCACTACAGGAACTCTGCCTGGGACTCATTAATATTCGGTACCACTCACACATACCCCTCAGATTTAAATGGTTCTGTGTATTTGATAAACCTGTCTTTCTGTTTGAGATAAAATAAGCACACACCTCCTGTAAACATTCTTTTTTATTGGCTGGACAGTTGCCCTTACACTAACACCCCTCAATTCACACCTGACACAGAAACATGTATGCGCACATGGACACGCCCACCCACGCATACAAGCAAACAGCGGCCAAGATCAAGGCCAGGGCAAGCAAACATTTGACGTTCTGGCCAGAAATCTGTGCCAGACATTTCTAGATTGCCTACACTTTCCCGTTAAACAACATAAATTGTTTGCTTTCACTGTCAGCACATTCTGTATGACACAGTTTTACCAGCTAGTAAACAAACATCAAAAATTGTTTTACTATGACAGAATATAATCACCATTTCCCTTGTCAGAAACACTCACTAACTGCTGTATGAGCCCTTCTACAGTAGAAAGTAAATTACGGGTTATATTGATTTTCTAAGTGAAAATAAATAGTGCATCCCCAGAGAACACACTTCTGCACACTTCACAATTACTGTTTATTTGCAGAATTTAACATATTGAGAAAAACAAAACATTAAATGTGGCATTAAATATTTAGACACATTTTACACTCTGTTTTATTTTTTACAATATATTAAACTCAAGAAAATATAAATCGTCCACTAAAATTTGCAGAAAAAAATTACATTTAAACTTGGTCCCTAATTTGATGGTTATTTAAACTTTTGCACTGAACTGTCTTTATAAAAAATAAAAATACAAAATAAAAATGTTTTTAATTTAAGTCTGTCTATGCTTTTTTTTACTCAGCTGTGTATCCAACCTTGAACCACTGTGCATCTTGTTTTACTGAAGAATGTTTTCAGTCACTTTTGTCAATGTTTTTCAGTCACTTTTGTGTTTTTGTCTCTCCCATTCAGCCTGGGTCCAACAAAGCAGAGAAATTTGACTATGTAAGTAACTCCATAATCCTACTTGTATATTGCGCACAATATATTTATTTATTATTTATTATCCATTGCCTTTCCATACAACAGACAATATACAGACAGTTCACTGTATATTGAATACAACACATAACTGCTTACCCTATCTATCTATCTATCTATCTATCTATCTATCTATCTATCTAATAACTGACAGAAAAGGCTATTTTAAGGCATTTGGCTTACAACAGAATATTTATGCCAAAATTCATTTTCAACCTAATTTCGGTGCTCCTCAGGTAATGGACTTTGTAAAGAAAATGGCAGGCATGGAATATGTAGGCTTCAGCAATGCCACGTGAGTCTTTTCCTTTTTCTGGTTGTACATGAGTGGTTTTGTGCTCAGTGCAGTCGGCATTGATTTTGTGTAATGCAATTTCTTTTCGCCCAGGTTCCAATCAGAAAAAGAGACAGGTGACAGAAACTTTGCAATAGGCTACTACCTCAAAGAGAAAAAGGTTCATTTTGTATTTGACTTGCCTTTGAAGCTTTTGCTAAAACCACTCAGTGTAACGAGTATTGCTTACAGTCCTTTTGTTTGCAGTGTTTTCCTTGTGGGGCAGATATGATTGATGCTCTAGACTTTTACTTCCAGGTGAGCTACAGTAGTTTTCTCAGCACTTCATCATAAGGTGTTTTACCGTCTTCTGTGTGCTCTCGTCTTTCATCTACACTCAAAAAAGCTAATTCAGCAAAACAATAAGTTAGCACTTAAAAGACAAATGAAACAACAGCACATAATGCCAAAAAAAAAAAACCTAAAGAAAATCTTAATTACTTCTATATTGAAATTCATCTCTGAGTTTACATGCTTTTGGCAATAATTGTGTTGATGTAATATTTTTTATTTATGTTGAAATGATGTACCAGTTTCAATCAAGTAATTCAGGGCATTGCTTTTAATGTAGTTTCAGTTTAGTGCCAATTAATTTTCTTTAACTGGTATTTTAAGTATTTATTTTTTTGTTGAATGTAAAATAGATCTTTTACTTATTATTTTACTATTTATTACATTTCTTTCCTTTTTCATATTTTAATTCAACATTATACTCTTTTTTCTTAGATGCATGTTTTTTTGTGCTTTTTGTCTCAAAACACCTAAAACTGCATTTTAAAGTGCCCCTATAATGGAAAATTACATTTTCTCCCTTTTGTGAAGTACGCAGCATGTTTCATTCTAAAAGATAAAGAGGCTAGAAAATGTGGAAAAGTATTATCATGAAGGTTTTATTATTTTTAAGAGTGCAAAAGAGTGCAACTTATTGTTTGCGATTGTATAATTGCAAACATGCTATAGCACAAACGCTCCTCTCAGCTGTGCTCCATAGAGGTGACATGTGAGTCAGGCAGTGTGATGGCGGCGACACTGGCTAATGGAGGCATCTGTCCCATCACGGGGGAGCGAGTGCTGAGCGCTGAGGCCGTGAGGAACACCCTGAGCCTCATGCACTCATGTGGCATGTACGACTACTCTGGCCAATTTGCTTTCCATGTAAGTCAAGAATTTGTAGAATGAGCCAGCTTTATTTCAGACAAGACTGACTAGATTTGGTTGAATTCACATGGTCTTAATGATCACAGGTTTAATGGTGAAGAGACTGGGGTTTGGAATTGGATTGGATTTTTGTTTAGGTAGTATAGTCTGTTAACCTGTAGAATTCTAGAGTTATTAATGTAATTTTACTATACCATTTAGATGTAATTATATAATTTATTATGTAGCAATTACATAGTGAGTTACGTTTGTGGTGAATGTGCAAATTTGACTCTGTGCTTCTCACCTTTTTCTGCTTGTTTCAATGTCAATAAATGATAAAAACATGGCAAAAAATTAAAAGATTGTTTATCTTTCTGCAAACAAGAGTGTGCACAACAAATGTAACTCAGACAAGCACAAATGTGGTATTGATTAAAAGTTTAGAATCTGCACTTTTAACAGTATTTACCAGAATTTCTCTCTTACAATAAGCTGTGAGTGAGAAATAATGAATAAAAAACTACACCTATACTGTCTTGATTTTCCCTTATATTTACTGTGAATAGAGCAATAAAGGATATTGTAATTACAGGTTTCTTTGTGTCTTCCTGTGATTCAGGTGGGACTACCCGCAAAGTCAGCGGTGTCAGGCGCTGTGTTGCTAGTAGTGCCCAATGTGATGGGGGTCATGTGTTGGTCACCACCTATAGACAAGGTGGGGAACAGTGTAAGAGGCATCCGCTTCTGTCAGGTGAGCTTAAAACCAAATTTTTCTGTATTCAAAGCAAGTCTTTTTGTTGATGGAAACTGAGTCATTCGTAGATTTGATCTACTCCGTATTACCCTCTCTATTCAGGAGCTGGTGTCCTTGTTCAACTTCCATAATTACGACAATCTGAGACACTTTGTTAAGAAACAGGATCCGCGTCGGCGGTCTGGTGAAGACCGGGTGAGTCTCCAAACTGTTCAAGATTATGGTTTGGCAAAGCTCAAACATTCTGATGGAAGTTTTGTCCAGCAGGTGGCACTATAGCACTGACTTAGTGAATCTGGCTCATTTTAAAAGCCTGCTGAGGGCTTGACATGTGGCTTTATTTTCTGGACAATAAAGATATGCTTGCTTGTAACACAGTGTCTTAATAGAACATTTCCATGTAGCATACTTCTCTTACTCAATATTTTCATTTACTCATATAATCTGTTTTAATCGGCACAATGATTATCCTGCAGAAAACATCCTTATTGATTTAATTTGAAAGAATAACTATGCCTTTTATTTCTATTTTCTTAATATGAAATCATTTGACTTGAGGTGCCTCTAATGATGCTTTACACATAATACACAGTGTTTTTTTATTTGTTTTGTCCCCCTGCTGGATATATGTCTTTAAGGACAGTCATTATGTAAAAATAATATGTTTAGTGAGTCACAGAAGCAGTTTCATCAGTTGTACTTCCTGGAAAGCGATGAACTTTGATATTGCTTTGTCTCATCTCTTTGTTTAATCGACTCTTTTTAGAACAAGTCAGTGGTGAACGTGATGTTTGCAGCTCATAGTGGAGATGTTTCAGCCCTCAGGAGGTAATTCAGTACTTAACATCCCTAACTAGGTTTTAGGCCCACTTTAATTGAATTGCATTCTGACTATTCCTGGTCTTTTTCATATTATGCATCTCATATCTCTTTTTCCCTCAGGTTTGCTCTGTCATCAATGGATTTAGATCAGAAGGACTATGACTGTCGTACAGCACTTCATGTTGCTGCTGCAGAAGGTAGAGATGTTTTAATAAGTAAATAAGAATAACTTTTTAAATGTTTACAATTGCTTTTGAAGGACACATTTTACGCTTATAAATGGGCCACTGTGTATACTTAGTATATTTCAATTTAAGGTGACACTGTCAATTATATTAGTAATTGAGTAATCTGCTGATTACTCGCAACATTATACTGAACAATAACGCACAGTGCATATTTGTTCAAAATACTGCGATAAAAAAGATTAAAACACTGGGCAGAGTTAATGCATAAAATAGGTGTGTCCATCATGCTCTGTTTCTTACTGTTAAGAATATTGAAATATTATTTAATTAATTAAGATATACCTTATCATCATGCAAATACGAACCAGTCAGTGGCAATTCATTGAGAATTTTTAACACTAAATAATATTGATAACTCTAAATGAAATGCTACCATATTTATGTCTTCTAACTGAACAATTTGAGCCTGAGAAGCTGATTTCTGTTTCAGGCCACGTGGACGTTGTGCAGTTTTTAACACAGACTTGCAAAGTGAACCCCTTTGTGAAGGACAGGTCAAAGGCTTTACTTTTTTTAAAATCCTCACCACTTTCCTCATTTTTGTGTATTCGGTCATCTTCGAGTTTTTGCTATGTTGATTCTGATGAAAAATCCACTTGCTGTCTCTTCAGGTGGGGAAACATTCCTCTGGATGATGCAATGCAGTTTGGCCATACAAAGGTGGTGAAGATCCTGCAGGAGTATCAGCAGACCAACAGTCTACAGAGTTCTCCGGATGTGCCTGACCACATCAAACAAAGCAAACTCGGCTCTGTTGAGGGTATAGTGTGAGCTGCCTTTAGTGCACAGGGAGCTTCCGCTGTCCACTCAGTTTCAAAGCTCACTGTGATTTTTCGACCATTTAAGTTTAGGTTATAACTATCCAGACTCACCTTTGTTGAGGGTATGATGTGAGCGGCTGTTCATGATCAAGACGCTTCTGTTGTCCACTAAGTTTAAAGACAGCACTCTGAGTTATATAGATGGTAACAGTTTATAGTAGCAGCCCCCTAAAAATAGCAACTTAGTCATTATATAATACTTAAAGTTTCAAGTTTATTTGTCATTTGCACAACATGTCAGGACATTCATGCATTGAAATGCTTGTGGTGAGGCACAGGTAATCACTCTACAGAAAGTAAACAAAGTAAAAATAAAAATATAATAGTTCACAGTAAATTAATTGGCATTTTGCATTATTAAGTGCTACCATTTGAATTATTACCCATTTACTGACACAGATAATTAAAGTACAATGAAAGTGTTTCATACATGTATATTTATTATGTATAAGTATCTTTAAATACATTATGTTATACAATTTAATATACATATGACCAATGTGAAGTTATATAATTTGTGTTTTATGAGTATCAAATAACTAGCAAACAATAATTAATGTTCAAAGTAATTGTTGGTTACTTGTATGTGAATGACTTAAAACTCAAATGGTCTAATTTATTAATGCATATGTTACTATTATATAATTAACAGTCATTAACAAACTGAATAAACAGGCTTTAACAAACTATTATATAATGATTAAGCTCAATTCATTTAAGAACAGATTTTCACTTACTGTCAGCTCATAATTATTGGCACCCTTGGTAAAGATTTGTTTTTTTTAAAGGTCATATATGTAACAAAATCTAACCTCCATTCAAAGTAAATGAAGTCAAAGGAAACAAAAAAACCTTTTTTAAACAAAATCAACATGCGTCACAAGTATTGGCACCCCTGCATTTTGTACCTTGTGCAGCCTTTCTTCTCCAGTAACATTTGATAAGATTAGAGAGTAGAACAAGCAAAAGACCAGTCCTCAGTACAGAATCTCTCCAGGTCCTGGTGGTCCTAGGTTCTCTCTTTTGTACTGTCCTCTTCAGCCCCACCCATAGGCTTTCAGTGGGGTTTAGATCAGAGCTTGATTCAGTGGTCACTGAAGTATTTTGTGTAGTTTTGTATGTGTGTTTTGGCAGAGGTTGCCAGATATTCATTCAAAATCTCTTGGAACTTTATGGAGTCCATTTTATCATGTATCCCAACAAGGTTCCCAGAGCCTCTGGAGGAAAAACAGCTTCAAAACATGACAGATCCTCCACCATACTCAGCAGTGAGGATGAGGTTCTTTTCTCTATAACCATCTTTATTCACCTTAAACCCACCTTGGTTGTGTGTTAGCAGGAAACACTATTTCTGTCTCACCTGACCTGTTCCAGTCAGAGTTTCAGTAGCATCTAGTGAACTCCTGGTACTTGAGTTTCTGGGTAGATGAAAGAAATGCCTTTCCTATCATGCCTTGATTGTAGTTTTGAAGTTCAAAACCCTGAACTTTCTATTTTATACATTTCTTGAGACTTTAGACAATGAGCACATTATGCCAAATTGAAATAAATACCAACAAACAAAAAAAATCCGCAGAATGTATCTTTGCTTGGTGGGCCTAACCATCAGTCCCCCACCTCTCCAGCCCCCATCCTCCACAACACACACACAGACACACACACACACATACCACAGATGCAATCGATTATTATGTTATACAATATGAATGATTTTGTAGCAGCCTATGGTGCTATAAGGCGACACACAGTGTCCTCTGAGAATCTTATCATACCAGTACTTGGAGAGAGTGGCCTGACTGGTAATGTGCAATTTAGTTCAGTTAACCCAATCATAAAGAAGGAGAGGTCAAGTACAGTTTGTTTTTATTGTGGATATTATGATACAGATAAACCCATTTGGCCTATAGGTCATGTTAAGTGCCACTGTTTGTAATGTAATGTAATAAATGGGTAGAATAATGAATCCATTCCAAAAACATTTGTGCAGGATGGATATTATACATTGAATTTATACAGTAATGGGCTTAGTGAAAGGTTTTTGGGACAAAAGATCAAGTTCTGCCTGGGTGCCCTCCCCGGTTCTGCAGTCCTTGGCCAAATGAATGAATGAATACCAAACATCTTTGTGCTTGAATATGAATATGAAAACTGAATATGATTGCTTTAACCCCTTAAATGGCCAGGGCCAACTGGCAGGCCCAAAGGTTTGTTACACGCTTCTATAACCTAAGAATAGCTCAACCAGTTCGATTTGAAGTCCCTGTAGTTATTTAATAATGAGCCTTAATATGTAAAAAGATTGTGACTTTAAGGGGTTAAGGTGAGGTCAGCTAGCATTTCACAGATGAAGGACAAGCTATTTCACTCTGAGTTGAACTGAACTGCAGCATAACCTGCCATGGAGCAGGTGAATTTATGTACTGACTGAGCTGCTTAGATATTAAGATGCTGATTGGCTAACTCGAACAACGTGATACACAGTATACCCCTCAGGTGAACAGATTTAATGTGTGAAAAGGCCCTGTGACATATCAAAGGCCAGTACCTATTCAGTTATAGCTAATTATTGATATTCTAAAGAAAAGGAACTAGACATGTTATTTGAGCTTTTACTGTATATGTTGGTTTTGCCAAAGATGGGAACATATAAGTTACATCTAATTTATTGTATCAAAAGTTTGTAATGTGTTTACCTTGTTTTGTTTTTTTTTTAAATAGGAATTGGTGTAAATGTGTGTGATGATGTTTATCAGTTTGACAGTTTAGATGGATGATATGAACTGTTTAAAATGGACTTTTATTGAGCAATATTTTCAAGCTAATTGAATCTGAAACTAAACGTGTAAAGCTCTGACCTCCGGCTGTCAGAAAGTAGATTAACATTAAGATGTTTTGACTGATCTGGCAATCGAATATGCTTTTTCTGATTGCACCCTGTATATCTGGACAAACATCTGAATATAAACCGACTGCTTGTGAATCAGTAGGAAATACAGGTAGATGTGATGTGCCTATTTCTGATGTCATGTTTTATTTGCTGTACAGTATTTTGCAGGTATCTTATGTCCATATGTGACAATATAAAATAAGAAAGGTAAAATTATTGTTGCTGTGAAATGCAATGTTTTTAAATATTGATATTAAATATTTTTCACAAAAGAATATAACGAACATAGTGACAGTTGTTTTATTGTACATTTTTTATTGGTCTTTACTGTCTGAATGTAGTAGGGTTTTTTTTACCAACCCAAATGCACAACAGTTGTGACATTAGGCATTGCAAAATTTGATTATATTAATGCGGTTGGGACAAAACCTCACATCTACAAAACTGTAATTTTTCAGGAGAAGAAAAAAATGGGTTTAAAGTTGATGGAACAAGCTTTTGGAACATTTTTATTGGTCCATTCTTCATGAAATATTAACACTATGATAAATGGCAGCTGGCTTGTTAGAATTATGTTTAAAAATATATTCGGTGATGATATATTTGAGATCCTGGAGAAGTGAACTGGACCTGCTTCTTTAGGATACTCCTCGTCTTCTCTGGCTTGTTCTTATTGCATGGTCTGCAAGAAATAACCATAACTCAATACACAGCGATTTCAAGATATTCTAGCATTTCACTGAATTGAGTTAATATGATAATACTGTGCGATTTTTTGTGATTCAGATATACATACGTTCTCCAGCCAGCTGATGTAGGCAGACACACGGGTGAAGACTGTAGGCTTCCTCTGCACGTTGCAGCCTTGAGCAGAAACGAAACTGGTGACTCCATGGACGTAGTACTTTCCATTGACCTGGCAGTTCAGGGGGCCACCAGAGTCACCCTGTAGTAGAGAAGAGGGAGGACATGAGATTTCTTTGTGACTGGCAGCAAACTACAATTTATGTCATGAACAGCATTTTATCTGTTGTAATGTATGATCAGATAGAAGCTTGATGGACTGTTGGTTGTTGCTCATACCCTTTGCTTTAGGCCTTTATCGTTTTATTTTAGACAAAAAGGATCCCAAAAAAAGAAAAATAGTGCCTCTTGTGTTGCTTGATGAACTAAGAAGTTCCATTGCAGTTCTATAGAGAGCTCAGTTTTTACATTTTTATTAATCGCGTTTATTGACCTGATATTTTTCTTTGCTCTTACTCAGTTTGTTTATTTGGTAGCTACATTTACTTTTACTTGAGTCATTATATGATTGATGATTGAACTAAATCAAGAATGATTTTGGGTACCCTCTGCACGTCTCAGCCTAAGCCCAGAACAGTAGATGTTATGAAGGCATCATCTAACAAACCAGAAGATTCTAGTTTTGACCGTTTGAAATGTTAGGATTCTTTGCTAGCAAACCAAATTATTCAGTATAAATGAAAGTGAACATTCTAGAAATCACAAATAAGTATTGCACATTAACACAACATCTGGATATAGCTGCTGTCGGAGCAAAACCTCAGATCACAAAAAAGGTAACTTTACAGGAAAAGGAAAAATGCTCTTAACTTTTAATGGAAGTAAATGGAGAAATATATTTTCCCAAGTAATTTTGGACAATTTCTGTTGGTCCATTCATCATTAGCAACTGCCTTTTTCAAACTAGGTCAAAAAATAAAAAATGATCAAAATGGAGATACAAGGTTTTGCTTTGACAGCAGTGATATGTTTGTATTGGTATATATTGGAAATGTAGGGTTGATGCAGTAGATCTATTATATCTTTTGCTGTGACCCCAACTGGCCATTGTTTGTTCAAAATACACCAAAACTACACTGGCAAAAAATAGACATGAATACTTTCAAATAATTCAAAAATAATTCTGAATGAAAAGAAATTGTTTAATATAAAACAAGACTACATTAGCTGCAGACCACTGTTAAACCTCTTTAAATGTCCCCAGTGTAGAGTAGATTTTTTTAAAACTGCCTATTCGATGGAACTGGACACATGGCATCACCACACATTACGTTGCAGTGCATGCTGGGAGAAATGCTAGTGCAGCTTATGGTGAAATGGGCTAATATTAACAGAAAATTAAAATAATTTTGCGAACTGAATAGGACTGTGCCACGGGCATGACTTGGACATATTACACAGGCATGAGTACAGAATTACAGTAAGCTCTCCAAGCCCATTAACACAAATACTCTTATTACAGGTGAAAAGTACTATACCTGGCAACCTGAGAGACTTCCACCTCCAGCACAAACCATAGTAGTCCTAACTGAACCTCCCCACCAACTGCTGCTGGAGCAGGTCTTATGGTCCACTACAGGCAGGTAGGCCTGCTTCAGGTTAGAAGAGAGGGATCCTCCAGCTGTAGTCAGAGTTTTGAACAAGAGGGCAGTAAGACACAAGGAATATCACGGGTCCATAATAATAGTAATTGTAGTAAAAAGTTAAAATAGCAGTGGTAAAAAAACAAGTGGCTTTCACGAAAGGCTACATAAAGTAGGGCATGTCTGGCAACCAGATGATGCCCAGTTATCACTCACTCTGAGTGCGGCCCCAGCCGGTGATGTAGCAGGGGTTATTGTGGGGCAGGACCTGACCAGAGGGAGGCAGAGAACCCAGCTGGACGTAAGAATTCAGAGTTGCGTCAGCAGACAGACGGAGCAGAGCGATATCATACCTGAAATTAAGAGAAAATAACCCAGAGACTTTTATTTTTAGCCTCAAATGATCTATTTCAGAAATCAGGGAAACTTCAAAACGGCTCACGTAAGGACAATCCACCATAATACTTTCTTAGTAAAGTACATTTTCGGTCTTATTTATGTTGTGCCTCAGTTGTATACTTAACACTAAGTCAGGTTGGAAATGGATTAAGCCCATACTCTTAGCAAAAAGGGTTCTATGCTGCAAAAATGGGAAATTGTTTTAAATCTAGTCTATATTTCTAATATTTCTCATTTTGAGATTGTTGTAAGCTTATTATATGACTATTATATAACTTCTTCTTAATGTTCTTCTTAACATTTTTTACTTGTAATTTTATCAAGTACAATCTCACTAACAGATCATTTTGCATACTTATTGACCAAAAAGGCTCCCTTACTTGTAACAATAGCAAAATCCTTTTTGGGACCATTTTAAAAAGGTAAACAACATAAACAACAGATTTTCCATAATTGAGAGGAATTAACAATTTATGCATTCAAATGGTTCTTTAAGTTTTCAAGGTTTCGATTGCTTGTACTAAAGAAGTATAGTTTTTAAGGGTGTAATTATGGACTAAATTGCAGCGACAGCAGTAAATCACTTGGAAATTCTATTATTTTTATTTTTTTTTTAACTTATTCACTTTATTGTTTTTTGTAAATCTAAGCTAATTCCAAATTTGATGCCTGCAAAACATTCCAAAAAAAATCGGGACAGGGGCAATATAAGACTTGGAAGTTTGTGGAATGATCAAAAACACCTGTTTTGGACCTTTCAGCATGATTGAGGTTTTGAAGGAGCATTCATCAAAGGCTCGGTTTCCACTTTGTGAAAAACTGCAAGAGTGAAGTAAATAGTCGAACAGTTTAAGGAACAGGAGTTCAAGAAATTTAAGGATGTCACCATCTACAGTCCATAACTCTTTCTTAAGATCCAGGGAATCTAGAGAAAGCTCTGTGCATAAAGGACAAGGCCAAAAACCAATACTGATCAGTTTAGTTTTTACCCAAGAAATGAATGTACTGCACTACGTTTTCCAGATTTTCTGGCCATGAGTAGCTCTTCCTTTTCTGCTTTGTATTCATTCTATTGTAGGTATGCATAGTACATTGTATATGAATATACTTAACTCTGACACCTATACTATATGCTATACAGTCATGGCCGTTAGTATTCGGACTGCGTTAGTTGTTTGTATGTATTCATCAAATAGATGCATTGCTCACAGTGGCATCAACCAAAAAAAAACACAGATGCAGTGATGTAGGTTACCTACCCATTTGAAATCATGTTGGAATTCCAGTTGGGGTGAATGTAGACCCGGCTGACAGAGATGTACTGCTCCTTGCCTTCATGCTGAGAGATGTTATGATCACCAAGCACAACACGATAGGTCCTTTGCCTATAGATACATACACAAACCTTATTTGTACATCACTTTCAATTTAGATACATGCTTACAAAAGACAGTGATTCGACTGTTCTTTAGTAAAGAAAATGGTTCTATATAGAACCATGAGCAAAGGACCCTTGACATGATTAGTACTTTGCATCTTGAAAGCGTTCTTTAGAAAATGTGCATGAATGTGCTATAGACGGGTCTATATAGAACCCTTTTGAAAAGGCTTCTATATAGCACCCCAAGGGTTCTTTTATCATTAAAAGCTTGACATCGTAACAATAGAATAACTCTTTTGAGTGCTAAATAGAACCATCTACAGAACATCCTTGCATCATGCAAAGAACCTTTTAAACATGCAAAGTGTTATTTGAGTGTTCATGGTTCTATATAGAGCCATGTTCTTCACTAAAGGATCCTTGAAGCACTGTCTTTTTTAAGAGTATACACTCTTAGAACGGTTCTTCAAGGGCTCTTTAGTAAAGGGAATGGTTCTGTTTAGAACCATAGTTCTATATAGAACCATTTCATGTTTAAATGGTTCTTTGTATGGTGAAATGGTTCTTCAGATTCAGAAAATAGCCAAAAAGGTTCTGCTTTTGTGAGGATATGAAGCTTGTATACAACAGAAGAACCCTTTTTGATGCAACATAGAACCATTTAAAAAAAGACTGTATATAAAACCATATATAACACATTCTCTATCAATCTGAAGAACCATTTCACCGTATAAAGAACCATTTAAGCAAGAAATGGTTCTATACAGAACTCACGGTTTTAAATAGAACCATTCCTTTTATTAAAGCACCCTTGAAGAATCATCTTTTTCAAGTGTGTTCATTTAAAGTATCCAGAGTATCTATTGTGTACTGCTGCTACAGTATTCTATATTGTCTGAATATTATACACACACAGAATTAGATCCATAAAGGTCATAACAGCAGTGCTGAGTAGAAGGGCGGTTAGTACCACACACATGAATTACTTCTAGATAGACAGAAATATTATTAACACAGAGGGAAATTGTAAGGTTACAGCAGCAACAAAAAAAGGAATGTGAAAATAATGTACATATCTTAGGAGAAGCTATAAAAATATACAGAATTTACAGTATCCTAACAGGAGACTTAAACAACATTATAGCTTTATAAATATGTGCTCAAATGTAGGTGAATATTTACATGCGATACACCTTGAGGTTGTGCTTAATGAGATTTTAAAGATGTGGATTTTTAGATGTGATAATTGTGTAGCTTCATGTTATATGGAGGATCTATAGATCCATAAATCCATAGTTTAACAGAAACAGGAATACTACACAGAAACAAAATCATGTAAGAATAGTTGTTGAAATGGTGTAAAGATTAAATTTCAAAGATAAATTCTGCATAATCTGATGTTAAAAAGCACATCCTCAAATAAATTTGAGAGAGTACATCGCTGCTGTCAGGAGAAAACCTCGTATATCCATTTTTTCCTTTTATCTCTATTTTCATCATTTTTTAGTTTTTGACATAATTTGAAAATGCCTGTCATCCTTTACACTGTGTGTAAGTTTCATGATGAGTGGGCCAAAAGAAACAGCTGAAAATGTCTGGTTCCATTGACTTACATTAAAAGTAAAGTAGATTTTTTCCTTTTCCTGTAAAGTTATCATTTTGGAGATGGTGCGAGGTTTACCTACGACAACATGGATTATGCAAAAGTTTGGGTGCCCCTGGTCAAATTACCTGTTTTGTTGATTTTTCGAGTGTAAATACGTAAACTCATCCTCTAAAGAAGACATGCTTCTGCACACTTTAATGCACGATTGGTGGTTATTTTTCTGAATTTAACATTTTGGAAAATAATAAAACATTGAAATGTGGTCACATCATTCGGCAAGTATATAATTTGATGAAGGGTGTTCACACTTTTGCATACAACTGTATTAACGTGAAACATATAAAACATTAAATATTATTCATAGGGCCAGTTTTCTACAGCCAGATTAAGTCAATAATAACATGCCTATAGTGTTGTATTTATACCCAGCTAATATATTTGCTCAGTTCAGTCATTCTGTATGCATTTAAACTCAGAAATTTGAATTATCAATTTAAATTCATAATTTAAAAACTATTCGGGCCCTTTTGAGTGGAATTACCGATAAACTAAACTCAGTCTAAGTAAGTGAAGAGAAGATGTATTGGTCTTACCTGTCCACACAGTGGGCTGCGGTCATCACCCATCCTCTCCTGATCAGGGTCCCTCCACAGGTGTGATGGTATGAGCTGCCAGATTGGAACTGGAGAGAGATCTGAGATGGAAGAAGATGTCATGATCTCGTTGGAACCTCTACAGTACCCTTTCATTTATCTATCGCTTGTATAAGAACTTGTTTATGCAATTGTATGTCCTTTAGAGATGGGAATGTTACCTGCCAGGGCCACGAGTGTGGTTTCGCTACTTCACCGCCTACAACTCTTCCCTCCACTTCCTCCAAGAAGAGAGCCTGGGGCTCCTCATCAGCAAGAGCTGCAGAGATAGACAGGACAAATGAAGCACTGAGTAAATGAACCTAAGAAAGATGCAATCGTTCTGCTAACTGGACTGCTTAGCTCTAGATCAGACAGCCTGTGTCCAGAGGAGTGTGGAAGATTTCTTACCCAAAGAGGCAAGAGCGGTGAGCAGGAGCAGCCTCAACATGTCTGCAGTGCGACAGGACACCTTCTAGTTTGCCACTTGGTGCCTTTATAGTCGACTTGTCTGATGATACAGCACATTCCGCGGTGCTATACTGTACAGCATACGTTCCCCCTCGCTCTGCAGATGTGTTCTGTCCCACAGTTATCATACATAACCAAGGACAGTGTGCCTCTCGTGGGAATTTTGACATCACAGTAACATGTGAAATATGAACTGTCGAAATAGGGAATAGTGCTCTGTAGCTTCCGGATCAATAGAAATGTGGCTCATTGTTCTGATATGCAATGGGAACCGGCAACTAGGAGGAGAGAAGGGGCAACCTACACTCAGAACAAAATGTACTAAACTGTCATTGGGGTGGTACCCTCAAGGGTACATCTCAGTACCTTTAGTCAGGGAACATAACTGTAGCATAATCCATTGAAATGATATTATTTATGTTGTATTGACTTCACACACCCCGTCTCGTCTCCAGACTTTTTATTTTCTGTTTTAAAACAAAAATCTCATAAGTGGTTTCAACATTTGGCTCAAATAACATTTTTTCGGGTTGTTCTGGCGACTGCACTGCTGAGAGGGAGCTTTTCCTGCTTGCGGCTCTTTTTATTGAAGAGCAGGACTTACCCCATAAACGGAAGGCATGTTGAGCATTATGAGCTTTCCCATTCATATTTCAACCAGTGACCTGTCTCCTGCATTGTAACTTCTCTGGTTGCAGTTATGCTCTTATGCTCAGTGTTTTTTTAGCAATGAACTAGAGTTCCTTTGAATGTGCTTTGAATTTGGAGCTCCAGAATTGTAAAAGATGTGGCTGGAGTAGCTGTAAAGGCGAGACCTAATAGAGGATGCCTATTTTAAAGCCAAATATGAAATGTCAGCCACCCTAGTTAAAGAAAAACCTCCATTGTCCTCGTCGTCAGTTATCAGAGGTAAGACATAAATGAAAATAAATAGATAAATAATTTCCATGCCCGCCTTGAGGTATGCTTTAGCTAGGATGTTTGAAGGTTAGGCTTTTTAGGTTCATGTATGTGTCAGGTTTATATTTGTGATCTTGTTATTGTTGGTGTAGTATTGCAATTATTTTGTTTCGATTGGAAAAAACACTGCACTAATAGTGGTGATGTGTCCAACATTGCTGTCAGTGTGCTGCCATCGTGGTGCTGCATAGGCTTTGTGTAACTTGCATACGTTCCCCCTCGCTCTGCAGATGTGTTCTGTCCCACAGTTATCATACATAACCAAGGACAGTGTGCCTCTCGTGGGAATTTTGACATCACAGTAACATGTGAAATATGAACTGTCGAAATAGGGAATAGTGCTCTGTAGCTTCCGGATCAATAGAAATGTGGCTCATTGTTCTGATATGCAATGGGAACCGGCAACTAGGAGGAGAGAAGGGGCAACCTACACTCAGAACAAAATGTACTAAACTGTCATTGGGGTGGTACCCTCAAGGGTACATCTCAGTACCTTTAGTCAGGGAACATAACTGTAGCATAATCCATTGAAATGATATTATTTATGTTGTATTGACTTCACACACCCCGTCTCGTCTCCAGACTTTTTATTTTCTGTTTTAAAACATTGTTATGAAAAGGTACAAATACATACTTTTCACCTGGAAAAACTTATTTAAGGTGCACACTGTTGTCCCTTTGAGAGAACATTTATGCTGTTTGTACCTTGATGAACAAAAATGTACCTGCACGGAACCTTTATTTCAAACAGTGTAGTTAAAAATTGCAACATAGAGAGATATTTAAATTCCATAATATTCCAAAATGGAGATTCTCACAAATATTGTTTCTTACCTGTTGAGCAATAAACTGCCATATAATTTAGTCTGATTTGGTCTAAATTACCTCTCAAAGAGAATACAGACTGTCTGGAGCATTATAAAGGTTGTTTTGGAAAGCCAGTGTTTTTCTATTTACAGTTTTCCATGTGTTTTTGTTGAGCTTCAAGTCAAATACATCATGTTTAAAGCAATCATTAAGTCATGAAGGATATTTTTTATATGTTAATCAGGCACGTTCTTATTCAGGAAAGTGAATTTGATGGAAATAGGCCCTTTTGGGAAAATATGACAAGGTAAAGAGGCCTATAAATGTTTGCTTGTGTGCTTTGTTAGTTTTTTGTAGCCATTTGGAATTTACGTTTTTGCAAGCAGAAATAAGTAATTCATTGATTAGAATGTAGGAATACCACATAATATTGTCTTGGGAAGTTATTAACATTCATTTATTAATCAGATGATTTAAAATGATTGTTATTAGTGTTGTGTTTATGCCCAGTAAATATTTCAGCTGACTTCAGTCGTTCTGTAAGCAGTTAAGATGCAGTTTAGTAGGACACATTTTGAAAAAAAATCATACGTAAATACATTTCTGAATTTTGTCATGGAAATCCATGCTGTGACCAGGCTGGCAGTAGGTGCGTTAATGTGCAATGACTCTAGCATTTCGTTTTAGACCAAAAAGAGAAGAATGGAGCCTGATGAACTTCAGTTCCTGTGCTGTTAGAGGCTGGATATACTGAGACGTTCTACTTCTGTGGAAACCTTTTTTCTCACATTGCAGCCTTAGTGACTTGTGGGCTATTCAAACACCACTAGTGAATGCTTTATTATATATTCTTGACAACTGGTGTCACATTATGCCATACCATTAATCAGTACCCGTCACCTTTATGTCAGACAAAATTAATCCATACTTGCAACAACTGTGACAGGTCCAAGTCCCTGTTGTGTAGTAAATGAGACATATGCAGTTTACGAACTTACTTTGGCAGTTGATAAGTTCAGTCAATTGAATACTACAAAACAAACAGTGAGAACATTTTCCACAGTCCTTAACCAGGCTCGGATCATCCAGTGGGTTTGCTGGACGCGTGCCCACTGTGGGCCCTTGTGAGCAATTATGAGAAATTTAAACAGCTGTTTTGACTCATGGTAGCAGCACAATGGGAACATTGCAAATTTTTTTTGTCTTTGTGTTACAGTAAAGAAATTTTGGCAATGCTGCGGGCAGTTATTTCCAGCCATAGAAGACCAGTCTCCTGTCTCTTTGAAAGGGAAGAGACCAAAATACTCTAAACTGAAGGCCAAATTAGAGTTTTAAAAATATATTTAAATATAAATCACTGATAAAAACTGACAAAAATCTCATAAGTGGTTTCAACATTTGGCTCAAATAACATTTTTTCGGGTTGTTCTGGCGACTGCACTGCTGAGAGGGAGCTTTTCCTGCTTGCGGCTCTTTTTATTGAAGAGCAGGACTTACCCCATAAACGGAAGGCATGTTGAGCATTATGAGCTTTCCCATTCATATTTCAACCAGTGACCTGTCTCCTGCATTGTAACTTCTCTGGTTGCAGTTATGCTCTTATGCTCAGTGTTTTTTTTAGCAATGAACTAGAGTTCCTTTGAATGTGCTTTGAATTTGGAGCTCCAGAATTGTAAAAGATGTGGCTGGAGTAGCTGTAAAGGCGAGACCTAATAGAGGATGCCTATTTTAAAGCCAAATATGAAATGTCAGCCACCCTAGTTAAAGAAAAACCTCCATTGTCCTCGTCGTCAGTTATCAGAGGTAAGACATAAATGAAAATAAATAGATAAATAATTTCCATGCCCGCCTTGAGGTATGCTTTAGCTAGGATGTTTGAAGGTTAGGCTTTTTAGGTTCATGTATGTGTCAGGTTTATATTTGTGATCTTGTTATTGTTGGTGTAGTATTGCAATTATTTTGTTTCGATTGGAAAAAACACTGCACTAATAGTGGTGATGTGTCCAACATTGCTGTCAGTGTGCTGCCATCGTGGTGCTGCATAGGCTTTGTGTAACTTGCTGTAATATCATAATAAATTCCCTGACTGTCCAAAAAAAAGTAGCCAAAAAAAAATGAACATTTGTGCCCATGGGCCCATGATTTGAGGATCTGGGACTGTTCATAACAGAATACCATGTGATGGTCACCATCCTTGGCAGGGGACAGTGGTTTGTTGAGTGTAGTTACAAATATGTCTTATTGGCTACTTTGGAATCTACCATGACTCTCAGTTGTCTTCATCTAGGTTAAAATTAGACATTAGGTACATAACTTTTTAAATATTTCAAAATACTTTACTGGAAAAAACGTAAAAACATGCCAAAAATGCATATGCATATAAATGGGCTTTTTATGGTCCATCAGGTCCTGTTTCTTACTGCTAGATTCATCGTGAAGGTGGAGTTTTGATCAGTATTTTTTTAATTTATTTATTTTTTGTAATCTAGCTTAATTCAGTAACTGTGATGTGTGGATAGGAGGATTCTTTATTTATGGTAGGATCAGATAAAATCCACAGTGAAATATTAAATGATGCATTTCAAGCAGAGTTCATGCTTTTGGCACAAGGAAGATGTTCTGGCATTGTAGCTCCTCCTCTAAAGAATGTCCCATTTCCACTGGGGGCAAAGCAAGTTTAGTTGATAGTGAGTCAGTGTTTATTAATGGTCATTTTGTTACTGCTTGGTCAGTCCTGTTTAATTGATTTAAAGTGGTTTAAACATCTTTGAGTAGTCAATATTTTTCATGTAGACATCTTTTGGAATTTGATCGGTGATGTTTCTTGCCTATGTTTGGAAAAGTCTTTTGACCAATGGACACATGAGCCAAATACACAAAATATGTACGGAGGCATCTGTGTTTTTGTCTAGATAAAGATCATTATCCTTTTGCCCTTTTCTACCCTTTTAGCCTTTTTCTCCCACACTTGACATTAAACTCCTGTTGGTACTGTGTTTTAACTGAGATCAGTATCAAAAATATGAATGAAACATTTTGACTCATTAGAAAGTTCCCAGTTTCCAGTTCTGGATCAATAAAATACATCTGTCTGTCTGTCTGTCTGTCTGGCCATCTACCTGTTTTTTAACTTATACAAAAGATCTACAAAAACATTGTTATAATCCAAAAACAACCAGGACCAAGACTGACTTCAACAGATAAAGTGTGTTTATTGCAGGTTCTTGTGTCCGTTGCTAAAGATGAACAGAACAGGGCATGTCTCATTTCTTCTCAGCTCAGATGTCGCTCTTGCCTCCATCCAATT